GACAGCCTATGTAATAATGTGATTCCATAGAAAATGATAATTATTGTTTTATGATTACGATTAGCTTTGGATTTTTACAAATCTATCGACTATAAATAGATAGATATTATATATATGTATATAAATATTTATTTTTTAATCTGATGATATATATTATATATATTATATATTTATACCTTAAAATATATATATAATTATTGATTAAAGGATTGTAATTTTATTGTAAATTGCATATATAAATTGTACGTGACAGATTCAATAATACATTGCAAATAATTATTAATAGATAGTTATTTGCGTGAATTTCAAACCAGACAGAAATGCTGGGAAAGAGCACACACGAGAAGCAAACTCGTCTATTCCCGCGGACACTAAAGTAACCCATGTGCATCCGTTCTCACGTAATTTTTTTCTCATCCTCAGTATGAGGTCGATCTCGGTCAGGAATCGAACCGATTAATAAAATCGTGATTTATAACCCGTAATGTCGCGATTCAGAAGTTATATACCTACACACACACACACACACACACACACACACACACACACACACACACACACACACACACACATATATATATATATATATATATTTATTTGGCGCATATATTATAATTACGATCAATGACATACATTCTATCATATCTCTCGCAAAAGAAAAATTGATTTCAAAATATTTCACAAACTTCTTTGATATTCTATCACATTTTTCTCATTTCTTGATACACATGTTTTATAAAAAATATAATGCAGCTTTGTTTAAAAAATATTATGCATATATTGCTATGCATAATTGTGAAAGTTTTTTTCGAAATTCTCTCACGTTTTATCATCATGAGTTACCGTCATCATTTAATATGTCAAGGTTAGTATAGTATCGCTTCCTTTTCTTATCTTATCGATATAAATTATCGCGCGCGAGTATATTCATTATTTCTCCAAGAAAATGGGCGTGCGGTGGAAAATATAAAGATCGATAAGAACACGCATACGTTATCGATGGCATTATGAAACAGAGTAGCCAGAGTGGCCAGGGTCGTGTTAACGGACCTGCGTGTTTCGAGAACCATGTCATGAGACTATCGTGCTAATTTCAACGTAATTTCAATGTAATTCAACTCTTCTGATTAATTCTTCTTGGTATAAATAATACTTTAGACGAGAAAGTTCTCGTATAATATTTGTGTCATATTATAATGCAGGATATATCTCATATTCTATTTGATGTTACAATAATTTAAAGATTAAGTTGTGACGTTTAACTGTCCTATTAACATCTTTACAAAAATAGGTGTAAAAAAATGTTTGATGAGAATTCTTTCAAAATATCGATGAACAAATATTTTTGTTCAATTTTAATTTCATATAACAAAGCGGTAGAAAATTTTATCTAACAATAAGATATATAAACACGCGTTTCTTTTTACCCCTTTTTAAATACAATTATGACATATACAAATTCCGCTGCGCGCCATGAATTTTTTGTTATTTTCTCTGCAGTCCACCTGTGCGGCAAATAGTCGTTATATCTCCACATTCATCGTCAGTATTACATGGTTCGTTGCAAATATTTTTGGAACTTTCTTCGGGATATTTATATTGCAAATATTTCTGAGTTACAGCTAATTTTTGTACTCCATGTGCAGCTATTTATTTTTATAGAAAATGTTCGAAAGGAATATCTCGCCGAAATAGATTGTCTGATTGTAAACGTACAATTGTGTTATAAAATTATAAAGTTTTTCGATCTTTTAAAAGAACATTATTAGATGGCATTTATCCGATTCGTTGACAGCCTTGTTGTGTATGCTGACAAAGTATTTCAACATTGACAGTGGGTGTTAAATAAACAAGTGATTCCAAGTCGTTCTCAAGTTTCGAAAATAAAAATCCAATAGATTTATGTCTGAAGTATGAGCAGATTCAGTTTGTCATAAAGAAATATTGAAATATAAAAATGACAATAACTTGGAAATATAGATACATAATGGGTTAGGTATATCATTTTTTTATTGTTTTTGTCTTCCGTTTACTATTGAAGTTCCACAGGTTATAAAACACCCCTCTATCTAAAAATTAAATTTATATTTGATTGTTTGCCCATATAATTTTGCATTTCGTTTTACATTTAAAATTAATAATAGACATTATTACAACTCACAATCAGCATATAATTATATACCAATTTATCGAAATTAGCTGTTTTTTTTATAATATTTATAACAATTTAATAAGAGAGAAAAAGAGAGAAATTTGCCTTAGATTTGTTTTAAAATAACATTTATAAATATGCAGAGATTATAAGAATACATTATATCTCAGAAATATAAAGAACTTATTGTTAGTAATAAAGTCTAGCACATGTTGTTATATATAATATACAACAACATAAAAACATAAATTTAATATTGTTCTTAATCTTTAATAAATATGTTCTACATTAACTACATGTTATATATTAAAATAGAATATAGGTATATATTATAATTATATTATAATTATATATCATAAATTAAAAATTTAATTTTTTAAAAAAAGTAACAAATATGAAGTTACGTATTTAAAAAATGTTGTATACAAAAATATTATTTTAATGTATACTTTAATATATATTTATTTTATTAATTATATTTTGGGTATTTAGAATTGCCTTTTCCTCTTTCGGATTAAAGTTAAAGATGTTTAATCCTTCCTTTAAAAACATAATTTGAGAATCAAATATTTTTATAGAAATTTCACATTTGACGAATTTATGATTTAATCACAACTCGTATAGAATTTTGTTTGCCTTTGAAGAATACCTATTTTGTAAAAATACTGTCGTATTAATGACGTCAGCTCATAAACCTTGGATATTGACTTAATTAACATTTACGCCACTTCGACATTTGTTCCATTCGCGCGTTCCGTGACTTCATTTTGTTGCGGTATATATTCGATCAATAATTACCTTCTAATGTTTAAATTTTCTAAATAATTATTAAATTTTTTATTTATAAAAAATATTAATATATTTTATTATTGCGCAATTTAGTTACCTTACGGCAAGTTTCTTTTTCAATACACATAATTGATATTTTTTAAATTCTATAAAAATATTACTGCGTAATTTAAACACACGATTCTTTTAGATATTATCTCTTTTATATATTACGTTTTATCATCGATAAAAGTTGCAAAATATGCGTTTTTATATGATTTTACAGCTATTAGTCCGCAAATATTTATGTGCACAAAATCTAAATTTTTTTTGCCTTCTGTAAACAATAGCATAAAATGAATTAGTTTGATCGTATGTTTCACAACCTTTGATTTTTCGATAGTAAAATATACCTTTCTCTTATTAAATCACTTTTTTAAATCATTATAATTTAAATGGTCATATTTTTCATATCATAATTTTAATTTTAAATTAGATTCATAACTCTCTTTCTTTTTTTCTTTCTCTTTTTCTCTCTTTCTCTAACACTAAAAATTTATTTGTTTAACTAGATATATGTGATTTCTCCAATTACGGTAAAAACTAATAAATTGTCTGGTCTAGTGATATTCACGTTATTTTTCGAATTATATTTCACATTTTTTCGATCATAGCTAGAACTGATAGCAAGTTTCTTCTTAGTTTATATATAATGTTTGTTAATATTACCAGTTTAATTTTACCTTAAAGTTTAATGTTAAATTAATGACTGTTCTGTGAGATATATTATATTTTTTTCCTGTAGCTGTACTTATACTATATTACTAACAGGTTTATTAGATAACATCTTGAACGTATTTCGATTATTACACATACATATGTAACGTTTATAAGTTTGTTCTTCTTTGTGGAACAAGCTAACAATAAGATTGAAATTGATTAAAGTATCCTTTATATTCCTTTAGCTTGCTGAGTCTTATTTTTGCTCCATTATTTCTTTTCAAACGAGCACGATTTGCTGACTGTCCATATTTACAGCTGAAATAATTTCCGTTGAACTTTTTCTTATCTTGATTTCGCATCCAAGTCGAGCCTTTGTTTGTATACGTACACATAACACATATATGTTCGTGTGTATCAATTATTAAAATAGTATTGTTATCAATAAATCATCAATTCTTTTAGAAGCTTTTACTATTTCTAAAAAAATCATTTGTTTCATATGTATACATATATAAAAATTGTTTATCCAAACAAATTTAATTTAATACAATTATACGTATATTTTATATGTATATGTATTTGTGTATATATATTTAAATATAAAAATTGTATCGTAAGAAATATATTCTTTGACAAAAATTTCTTCAAAAATAATATGCAAAGATAATAGAAGTACAAATAAAAAAATGAAAGATAATAAACTTGTCGAACGCGATGATAGTGTAATTTCCATAATTCCCTTATACTGTTCGATTATAAAGGCATAAAAGGGAAATTAAGGTTCTCGGCATGCTTGAACGAGGACACGAGGCCAAGGTTTAGCATTAAAATATCCTTCAGTTTTCTCTATTATCCAATATTAATGTTTCTCACATTTTACCCTCAACTTGTCGCAATGCGAATTTTGCATGTATAGAACCTATATTGCGCGCGCTGCGATTTATAAGTGAGCTGGCCGTAAACATGACTCTATAAAAAGGTTATTTTGAAACTCTATATTTATACATATATGTAATATATGTATTATCACAGAATTGTTGCATTATATTTTTTATTTTTCAACTGATTATGAAATTAATGTGTATTTATAGAGCGAGCAAATTTTGAAATTTAAATTAAACTAGTTCTTATTTTTTATTTTTATCATTAATATTTGGTAATTAAAATATATATAATTATTTACGCACTTATATATAAATGTTGTCCTAAAATTACATCTGTACAATGTGTAAAACACATAGTAAAATATTAGTGACATCCATGTTTTAGCTTGCTTTGCTAAGGCGAGGATTCTTTATAATCATTATCGTAAAACAATGTATCACGATTGACGGTATTGTTCGCTTTTTTTTTATAGATGACGTTGGCTCATCCATGTTAAGATGATAATTAAACGCTGAAGGACCTTCCACTTGCAAAAGTGGATTAAGAGGAGATGAGTGCTCGTGAAAGTTGAAAGGGAAAACCTACACAACGAATAACAACAGCCTGCCTCCATTGCGACCAGCCACATATCTCACGTTAAGGTATGTGAATCTAATATGAGATCTGTTCAAAAGTTTCTTACATTGGAAACATTTCTGGTAAATTTCGCGTATAAATCCATCTGCAAATTTTTCTTGATAGCTTGAATCATATGACATTAATTTTCTTTCAAAATGACTTTTAGTTAAAAAAAAAAGCCTAGTCAATAGAGTCAGAATAAATAGAACGCTTGGAAAAATTTAGTCTTCATTTTGATCAAAGAATCAATCACGGATAAGCACCGCTACTTTATCATTATGAGAAAATTAGGAGTTGCCTCTCCACAAGTCAGATTTTTTCTCCTCATTTTCTCCTTTTCGCGCTCAAGATACTACACCCTATACTTTTTACGCTTTTTCTAAATTGAAAGCTATTCCGAAAGGATTTTAGAAGGATTAAGATATCAGAGAAAATTTGTAGACAAGCTAGTCACGATTCTGAAAAAAGCTTACCAGAATTGCTTTTAGCAGTGATGACTGCGCTGGATTACGACAAGTAATCCGCCGGATAAGCAGTGTATTAAGAGAGGAGAGAAGTACCTTGACAAAGTTAAATAGAGTGCGCGAGTAAATTTTGAAAAATTACAAAAAACATGATTTTTTGAACACATTTATATACATATATAACATAATAACTTAAAATAATATTACACTATAAATAAAGTTATAAGTTGTAAAAATACTTCGTTTTATATATTTTATATAAAGTAAAGTAAAGCTATATTACTTTCCGATTCCTGCAAATTAGTAAAGATAGTTTTTATACAATTTTATTATTTTATAAATATATCTGAAACATTAACACACTTGACAAAGATTTTTAACATGCGGAATAATAATTTTTAATTACTACTGTGTAAGTTTACTACTAGTAATTTATGATGGCTTTAAGAATTTGTTTCTTAAAAAAAAAAAAGATTAAAAGATGCTGCTAGCAGTTTGTGACGGTTTTAAAAAGTTGTTTTCCTATAAAAAAAGATTAAAAGTTCTTTTTAAAAAGTTTTCTAAATAAGAATTTATATTTAAAAAAAGACTGTATAGCTTTCTTGGTAAATAAAGATATTAAAAGTTTTTATTAAATGTTTAAAATTGATATTGTTATAAGTAGTGAGACAAGTTGTGACAAATTATCGAACGATATTATTGGAATAAATGAAGGTAAATGATTAATTGTGAAACTTTAAAATTGAAACATTTTATCTATTTTTGCGATTATGTCGCTCTAAAAAGTCTCGCATAAATATTTGATTATTAATAATTATGAATGATCACTAATAATAATATTTGTACTTTTGCGATTATTCATCTTTAAAATCTCGCAATTTCAGTTATTTGTCTTTATTTATCCTAGTTCATTCTGTTCGACAATATTTGTTTCTTCATTAATTATACCGTATTATCCGCGTGCAATCTTGTTTCTCATTTATTTCTACCCCTCGTTCTTTCATTTCGCGTGAGTCTGCGTATAATTTTGCTAATATGACCCGTGTCGCGATATGATTAAATAGCACCGACAAAGTCTTTCTCTTACAATTAATCTCGTAGAGACCTCACGAACGACTATGCTCGAGAACGGTCAAATTTCTTGACATTGTTGATAAGTTACGTCGAGTTAGCAAACATCTGTTACAATGAAGTTTCCTCACTCCCAAATGGGAAATTAAAATAATAATAGTACCTGTGAAATTGGTCGAACAAATTTACAGAGTTCCTTTTCATCACCTCAATATTAATTTTACGTTAATAATATTAATCGCACAATATTATACAACATTAAAAACAGATATTTAAAGAAACGTATATTTATATAAAATATTTAAGACGGATACTTCGATCTCTCTTAACTGTCTTCAAACATTTTACAAGCGTCTTTCAGAGTTTTATGTCAGTTAAGATATTTTCGAATAAAGATTAATGTCGTAAACAAATGAAGTATACTCTTTGATAGTAATTTGACCTAATGCGAAATAATACATAAGAGGTACGTTATTATAGATAGAGAGTCTCGATTCTACGAGGTGTCACACGATTATGCACGTAATGCGGACGATGATACGAGAGTGTGGGGATAAGATAAGATTTGTGAGATCGCAAAGCGTGAGGAGATTGTGGTAGGAAAATGAATCGCACGCGGACTTTCAGAATGGAACGGGTTGGTGCCACGTGACATATCTATAGCATCTGGTACCGCAACGTTCCGTATTGATCGGACGACATCAGCTGTACGCTGTTGGTAGCATTTCTACTAGCATGGACGTTTGTCTGACTGCCATGCCGTTGCTCACTACTACTGTTCGCGATACTATCTTTTCCTCTCTTCTTTCTGCATAATGTTAATATATTGCTATTAAAACACTTTCGATTGGTGCAGTATGCTGACAGAGAAATTTGTTCAGCATATGTAGGTCAAAATATTTCATTTATTTACGTAAACATTTTTTCCTCTTTTTCCATTTTAAGATTATTTAATCACAGTAGTTAATCTAAAATTCAAATAGCAAAAAGGATGTGTGTGTTTATACGCAGGCTATTCATCTAATTTGAGTATCTCAATATTTAGTTGCAGTTATATTTTTAATGATATGAAAAAATGCTAGTGAAAAATGTTTTTTGGTTTTGAAAGAACAAGTATTATAATGAGCAAAAAATAATGATTTTAATTTATATAGCTATATATTTTGTACTATTTACGACTACTAGATATCCACCGCATTTCGACAGTTTCCGAATAATTTTCAAAGTTTGCAAAAACATTAATTAAATGAAGCATTTCCTTATAAAAGATTTGAATTTTCTTGATCTTTTTCCACATATTTGTTCTGTGCAATTTCTTATCGATCCTTGATGCCAGGTACGAGGACTATGTCCCACAAGATTATTACAGATGCGATAATAATGAAACGCTATTTACCACTGCCAAGTTTCTATATTACGGTCATTGAATGCTTGTGGTAAAACAAGTCCGTCAAAAATGTCACCGTAGACGTGCAAATAGAGTTTGAGCAAGAAAGATATATCGGCAAACATTGCCGTTTATTATCTTATCTTACCTCATTACATTGTCAAACACAACTCAATGACCGACACGTAGTTCATAAAATTATATAGATTATTACAAAACATATCAGCAAATATTCTCTCCTATATGCGATGAGAAGGAAAAATATAAGAGGATCGAGAGTTTTTTTAAACAATAGAAAACATTATTCCACCGTTCTTGCGATCATACTATACTATTAACGATCCGTGCACGGATTTCTATCCTGCATTACGTCATATACCTCTGAGACCGCGACAATTCCCTCTGTTTATCACCCCTTTAAGAAACTAACCCCATATTAGTATTTACAATTTACATAAATAGTTAATATATTTTTTAATATTAAAAATATTAATTTTATATTATTAATAAATATATTAAATATATTGAATATAAATATTAAATATATTAAATAAATAAATAATAAATATGTATATTAATAATAATAATATTTTAATATCATTATATATCTATATATCTCTATCTCTCTCTCCTCTTCCCTCTCTTCCCCTACTCTCTCCCTCTGTCTCTTCCTCCTCTTCTCTCTCTCTATCTATCTCTCTCTCTCTTCCCTCTCTTCCTCTCCCTCTTCCCTCTGTCTCTTTAATCTTCTCTCTCTCTCTCTCTCTCTCTTCCCTCTCTTCCCTCTATCTCCTCCTCCCTATGTCTCTTATCCTTAAATATATTTTAATATTTTATATATATAAATATATATGACAACAAAATTTTTTTGTTCCAGATGACATAGAATGGGTTGGGTGGCGCTAGGGCGGTGTGCGGGTGGTGGCGGCCGCCTCTCGTCCATCCTTTCGCTGTCTCTTACCTCCCTCGCGAGCTCCCTCATCTTCACTTTCCTCTGTATCCTCACACTTGCTTTTACTCTCGTCACTCTTACGCGTGCCGAAGACATGTACGTATTGCACACAAAATAATTGCTATATATATATGAATCGCGTCTTAGCTTCTCGGCCGTCAAGCAATTTACTTTTATAAATTCTCTAACAAGAAATCTAAGAAAGAAAAATAATAGAATAATAATATTCTATAAGGGCGCGATGAGAAAATGACGAGAAGCTAAGTCCGATTATTGCCGTAGATCATTCACATTTAAATTCTTGAAGAGGAAAGAAGATAGTATTATTAACAGTAATTGACGCATATATATTGAAATCAATTTTTATGTTTTCTATTTTGTCGATGATTTCAGTTGCAGTGATACTATAAATGATAAATAATATCTCATAAAAATAATCTTATTTTTATAACCGCAACAAAACTGAAAAATATAATTTAGTGGTTTTCTCATTTTTTCGTCGTAAAAACTGATTTACTATAATTTTCATTTGTACTCTTCAATTGTGATTTAAAGCTATAATTTCGCAAAAAATGCGCAACATACATAATTATTGGCACAATATGCACAATTGATAAATATACTTCTTTCTTTCTTACTTACTTATTTTAGAGCGCTCTTATACATAAATGTCTATAATTGATTACTTGACAAATTCGTTCTGTTATTCGTCGGAATCTTAATCGAAGAGAGCGAGATGAGAATTACGACGATTTTTCTGCATGTAGAACTGTATAGAATTGGAAAAATAGAATGATCAGTTTTATGTCATTGCGCGATTAATAACTGATGATGAAAAAAATCAAGTATCAGTATACGAATGTTTCGATCGTATTATTGCATCGAATGTATTAGCATACGTAGACCAGTGGTGAGTTTACAAGTTCTCTGGTAGTATCTTACAGTGTAACACAGTGAAATTAGATGCCGTTTAGTGCTTTAGACAGTTGCGTCTGTTTTTAGTAAATCGGTAGAATTATATTATGTATATACATACATATATACATTTCAAACGAATGCGATATATGTTTCATATATTTAGAACGTTAAATGAAACTTTAATATAACATCAACCTCGGCTATTTCGAAGATTGATGCTTTTAATTTTATGAGGGTTATCGCTCTTTTTTTTCCATTAAAATTCAATGAGTTAATTTTATTATTTTGATCAAAAATGATTATATCCGAGACAATCTTCGAAGTATCGAGATAGGGAAGTCTGCTGGAAGTTCGCGCGAAACCTCACTCTACGAACCCATGAGCCCGTCATGTTTCTTCCGGATGCACCCACAGTGCGTTGTGTTACAGCTTCGAAGAGGGCAAGTCGGACAAGGAGATTCTGGACAACTTGTTGCTGTCGACGCGTTACGACAAGCGGCTTCTACCCCCGGTCGAAGGTACACTGAGGCCCCCATCCTACTGCCCCATCAAGGCGACTACAACCTACCCTGTATCCAATGACCCTCGACCATCCAGAGCACCTTCGAACATCATCGGCACCGCTACCACCACATAGCACCACACAACCACAGCTCACTGCTCACCCTTCATTGTAAGGGTATTCTATGTAAATGAATTTGTTCTCGGAAAAGATCAAGAATAATGTGACGTTTGATAGGAGAGACAAAAGTAAGATCCATATGCGATCGAAAAAGCGAGGCCGCGATTCAAACGAGAAATTTGTTCGAGCAACTCAACGAATTTTTCTTCTCTTTCATTTGGATTTTGCGTGTTCATATAGGAAAAGTGTTTGCAACTTTCAAAATTATAGAACGTTTCATTCATCAGTTTTAAATTGGTTCGCTCTTCGACAAATTTTATCCAACATCGGCTTTTTCTATTGATTTCTCTAATTGAACGATAAGTGTTTTATAATAGCAAACTGTCTACGATATTTTTTATTTTGTAGCTTTTTCTGTCTTATAAAAAAAAATAAGAAAGTATTAGATACAGGATTCTTCAATTTCTGAATATTGTGAGAATTTAAAAAATAAAGTCTGAGGCTCTGATATTAAATATCTAAGTAATGGGAAATGAGCTGTTAAAAGCCAGGCGCGATTAGTGAAGTGTAAATATTTTTTTTTCTGATAAATATCTATTTGATTAATTCTATAAATATATATTTCGGTCTCAGGATTAAATTAAACTAAAGAGTTTACACCATCCTGAATGATTTCAGAGCGATAATTCTCCCCCAATTATTCCCGTTGAAAAATATTTGTTCGGTGTTGCTCGGAAGTATTGCGTCACACTTATTAGTTCGTTGCCCGAATACACATGCTGATAATCCAATCCAGGGACCGAAACGTATATTTATAGAATTAATCAATATGTATATTCATTAGAGAAAAAAAATTTATGCTTCACGAACCGTGCTCGGATCTTAATAACTCATTTTTTGTTAATTAGAAATAATTATTAGAGAAATTATTACATAAATTTACATCAATTTTTTTGTGATTTAAAGTTTTTCTGCTTTCTATCTGTCGTAACCTTAATTTAAATTAAAGACATTAAAATTTAAAGAATTTTATCATTGCATGGGGGGTGCATCAATTTGACTAATCCATCAGAATAATAATACCATCCTTCAATATCATGATTCATATTCACATAAATGAATAGGTTCGCGGTTTGATTGAAAACGCTATAAAGATAATAATCTCTTTTTCTTTCTTCTTTCTCTTTCTCTCTCCCTTTTCCTTTCTTTCTCCCTTTCTTTTCCTCCTTCCCATCTCCCTTTCCTTCATAGAGCTGGAATGTCCAAGTTTTTAATTGCGTTTATGTGTGCGAGAATAGTTATCAGCAGCTAATTATTAACATCTGCTAAAGAGCGACACGTGTATCTAGCGCCGTTATACATTGCAATATGCGAAGCAAGATTCCAGTAATCTATTATTAATTAGCTTCTAATTTCGGCACTTAAGCAAGTTTAAGGAATAGATTATTTACCGTCACAAACGAAATAATTTTACTCACAAACAGAACAACATACATGTAATTTATGTTTAAACGCGTTGATGAAATTTTCTATTTCACTAATTTGCTCAAGTTTCTCGCTCTGCTTTACTTCTTCTGAGAAATAAAATTTTAATTTTCTCAACATTACACATTGCATTTAACGGCTACAAGAATACGAAGAATTCTGTAGTTTTATATTAATTGTGCGTCATATGAATATAATATCAATACATCAAGATTTAATGCGGAAAAAATAAGTCGAGCTACAAATGCTGCATGAGTCGAATTGTCGCTTGAGGATGTATCCAAGAAGCAAAGTGCACTTCAACTACGAAGATTGCATTATTCAGACTTCATCAGTGGAACGGCTTCATACACATCGCATGACACAGATTATTGATTCTTTCGTGGAGTGCCCTCGATTTGCAAAGCTCTCTTTGCGTGGTGTATCTGTATATATAATTTATAAATAATAAAAATTCTGTTGGATACATAGACAATGATTTCAGAATAACACGATACCAATTACAATTTTTTAAAAAATTCATAAAGAATTAGACTTGAGAAAAAGGATGGGACGTGGGCGAGGGTTGTTTGGTGTCATAGAAACATATACACTGGAAAACTTACACAATTCTCATTACTCTTTTAAGAACACTGTTTCCCATAAACGGTATCGCATGATCGTACCTAATACCTATCAAATGCATCACAATAACATATTAATTAAGAGCATACATGATGGAAGAAATGGACTAAAGATACATGTAGCTTGAAATTTTATAAGCTATAATTCTTCTCTACACTGAATTACCAAAAATATAAGCTGTATAGATCAATATCCAACCGTAAACACTATATAAATAGAGAAGACAAATATCGGTTATCTTATGCGACTTCCTTGAAACCATACGGTTTAAATGGAATAGACGAAGAATACACAAAGTGAGGATAAGACGTGCGCAAGGGCTGTTGGGTGTTACAGATGCTGATTTCTGCTGTGGAATGAGATGGCCTGGTGACACTACCGGCTTGACAAACCAGTCGTCGATCTTCTCTAACGACCTCCAGAACCAGAACAAGAACCAGAACAAAAACCACTATACGTCGCACCAATACCTTCGCACTCACCTTCGCGGTCCGTCCTTTAAATTTTATTTCTTGTTACTATCTAAGGTCATCTACATTGAAGATAATTCACTAATATTACGATCTCTTAATCAATTTAAATTAATCTACGCGACTTATTCAGTACTAACTCGATTTTCGGTTACATTTAAACAATTTATCATATTATTGAAACTTTAAATATAAATGTATATATAACTTGACTCGTGAGGGAAATAATAAGAAAATATTATTTTTTACAAAAAAAAAAAATGTTCATATATTAGTGCATATTCTTCTATTTGAATATGATAATTGATAATAATCATTTTATGCATACAACAGAATGTAATTAAATTTTCATAAATTAAATTTTGTTAATAGTTCGAATATTAAATTCGAAGAATAAAGTTTTAAGAGCTAAAATTTAAAGGAAAAAGTAACGTTATGTTTTCTAATTTGGTACATCATTTTTCTGATTGCTGTATCCATATCTTATATATATATATATATATATATATATATATATATATAGTGTTGAATAAAATATTGATTCTACAATACATTTTAATATGATATAGTAATCAAGTGATGATGAAAACCATTTGCGCTAACCAAAAATAATGAAGACACTTTAAGAAATCATAGCATTATTGTAACTATAGTCAACTATAGCAGACTTGATTATTAATTGATAACTAATCGGTTGAACTACTGATATTAGTTAAGTACTGAATAGGGCGTGTGTATGTATATATCGACCTTTGGCACGAGAATTCATAGGCCGGTAGTATACATACAAATATCTTTCGTATATAATATACATATGCATACACCAAAATATATTTATTTATTAATAAATTACACATTGTGATTTACTTTTCGAAGGATGTTATAAGTATATTCTTGTAGAAATTTTGTTTTAAATTTTACTAAATTTTGATCAGAGAATTTAATTTTAGATCACTTATAAATTTTTACATAATACATATTTAATTTATTATGTTCAAAATTTATTAAATTTTAGCAACCGCAAAACCGATTTTTGCAATTGGTCTTAATTTTTTTCTAACTACTTTGACACATATATATATATATAAATTCTAAATGAATAACTTAAAAGAAATATCAACAATAAAAAAATTTACCCAGTTATTAAAGATTAATAAATTTTTATAGAAAGTAAAAATTGTTTTAATTCAATTAAAGCGAGAAATTTCATAAAAATACCATCAAAGTATCAATATCTAATTTCGAATGCATTAGTCATATTGATAAATATATTGTTGACTTAAATCTTTGCCATATAGTTTTAGCATTTTAGCAGATGTATTCATATACATATCTGTACTCATATATACATGCACAAAAGGATAAACAAATAAGGCATTGACATGCAATACAATGGCGAACGATCAAGGAATGATGATGTGATTCGATGTTTAATTGCAAAATCTTTGGTAAAAAAAGAGATATACATGATTGATACTACAAGCTCGTCTGTGGGACTGTGATGATTTGTGATGTATATGTTTAATTATGGCAGCGGATCTTTCCTTTCATTTGTAATCATCATAAATCGTTTCTTCACTCATTACATGTTTCCTGATTTCAAAATATGCTTAGACATACTTCATTCACATTTCATTTTTTACATAAATAAGATATATTCGAATAAAAAACTTTCTTTTGCTCTTATTAAAAAAATATAAAAATAAACTTTCTTATGAAAATGCTTTGTTAAATATGTATAAAAGATTACGTACAGTTCATTACTTACTTTGATTATTTTTATTTTTATATATATCATAGAGAACAGAATCACATACACTTTGAATTACATGGCGGATTTTTCTGGTTTCTAAAAAATAAAAAAAAAATGAATAAATTTATTGCTCCATATCGTAAATACAATATTTAATTTAATATTTTTATAAATTACTTTTTGATAATGAATGACTTTTTAATAAGACTATTAATTCATTTTTATCAAGATTTTAATATAGCTTAGAAATTCGTGTACTCGCATGTAAAAAGCTTTTAACGAACTAACAGAAATAAAGTATATTCTTGACATAAATATATTACACGCATTAGCAAATTACTTCATAAAAGTAACTTGTTAACATTTACTTATTACCGATTTTGAAAAGTAACCCGTTACTATTATTTAAAAAGTAACAAATCGTTACAATTTTCATTACCTTTAATTTTCATTATAAGACCAAATATATAGTATAAAACACACATAAATGACATATAAATATTTGTTAAATGTTTATTTATATTCAAATATAATAATAAACTAATTATTTTGATATTGATATTATTAAATGATAATATGAAATGTATAATAATCTTAATAATAATTTGGATATTAATATCATTATTTAAAAAAACTTATTTTATTTTGTAGACAATTTTTTAAGCTTCTATAAATATAAATAAAAGAAAGTATTTTCTTAATTTCTTCTTTATTCATCATTATAGCCAATTGTTACTTTTTGTATCTTTAACTTTATATCATTTTAAATTCTTGGCGTAATAATGGCGCTTTAATTTATGAAGTAAAGTAATTTTAACGTGCAAAAAAATGTATACAAACATAATCTGATTTAAAATAAATGTTAAATTTTATTTAAGATTATGTATACTTTTTCAAAGAACTTAACGCTTGTATGTAACTTTGTTTGTATATTTACTTAAGTGAAAATTATGCCACAAAAAGGTTCAAAAAGTAATGATAAAAGTAATTGCTGAATTCGTTACACGTTATAAAAAATGTCAACAAAGATTGAATATAATTAAAAATAAAATATATTTTAAAGTGATATGTATATTTTAGAAATCAGAAAAATTTTTCATGTAATTTATTTTACACGTAACTGAAAATTTAATTATTTATAATATATGAAAAAATTTCTCTCAAAGAGAGGATTATTCGTGAGATGTAATCTTCTATGCATAATTAGTAACGCTTTTATACATATACACATGTACACGTATACAAACAAGATGTTTTACAATCATACAATATTTTAATAGCGTATTCTAAAATTAAAATAGAGTAAAAAATTCAAATATAACAAATGTTAAAGCGCAATAATTAAATTATAAATTAAATTATAAGCTTATAAGTAGCCAATAATATTGCATATAAAACTGCACTTAAAGCCATAACTACATTTATATATGTAATGAAATTTGTTATTGTTATTTAATTTTCAAAACTCATTGATATATATATTGATTTTTACTACAAAGCTGAACTTTCTTTTTTTTGATCTCCGTACCTTTTACACGAGTAAAGAACAATAAAACAAAATTAAATATACAGTAAAAATCAATATTAGCTAACTCTTGTAAAAATCAACAAACAGTTTCTCAATATGTGTGTAAATGCAGTTATACTTGATCATGCATGAGCCTGCAAAAATGTTATGTGATATTATTGGTCTACCAGTAAAAAATTATTGTAATTTTGACATTTCAACATTAATTTTCGACTCTATTTTATTTATAAGAAAGCTATTAAAACATTTAATACGTAAAATATTTAGTATGATGTAATTATGTATACGAGAGTCTGAAATTATTTCACTTACAGTATAAGTTAAATAATTATCTTGATGAGCAAGAATGCTAAATTATTTCAATAATGCCCGATTGTGAATTTCTCAGACATTTAGGCGCTATATATATATATTTAATAGCGGGTTCAACATCGTTTCAAATCAATTCTTTATGAAAATTAATTTTCGTGAAAAGATATTTCGATATAATTGAATTACAAAAACAAGAGACGCATTTAACAATAAGAATAACGAGAAACGGGATTCAATATATTTGAAATAAAGTATTACGTGACGCAACACGCTGTTTCCATCTACCACAAACGTAGCGTGTTAGAATCGATCGTATTATGGCGCGGCATGAGAGTTGGTCGCCAATCGCAGAATCTACATTCCAGTTAAGTTAGCTTGATTTTCGTGCTCGATGCATCGACCTATTAATGCTCACTTCGTCATGTATAATATATTCTTATCAAGAACCGACGCCGACGTGTTCATGCATTGGCAACATGCATCGATGTTCTTTTAAATTCATTATTTATATACACATATTATGTGATTAATGTGACCGTCCCATGTGTAATATAAATAGGGTTGGTAATAAATCAAGATTGGAATTATAAAATAATAAAGAATTATAGAAATTTGTGCAAAAATGTCCTTTTTTAATATACAAATTTTAGATTGATGAAAACTTGATGTGTTTTTTTCTTTGCAAAAATTGGATATTAAAATAACTATGGACACAAATTTTAGCGAGGATATGTATATCTTATAGCTTTTAACCCAATTCTATTGTTTTTACTTCTCGCAATAAAGAAATTTGTCTTAATTATTTACATGTGACGACGGTCGGCTCGCTGGTTGGGACTCGAGTCCTTGAGAGATTGAAACATTTGTGTGAGGATGTACTAGGGACAAAATTATCCGAAAACACATTCTTAGTTTCTAAGTGAAATATGTGCTATAGTAGATAATAACGCCCTTTTGCGTACTAAAAAATCGTTGTTTATTTTTTTATTTTAACTAATGAAATGTTTGTCTAGCGTTATACAGTTTTTTTTTATATGATAATGTAGTATCATAATGTATAGTAGTATAATTGTTATGTGAGTTTTTAAAGATTGTGTTGGTGTAATAATCTAGAGATATACACAATTTTTTTTAGTAAGGTACAATGTTCGCAAGTATATTTTATGTATAGGTGATAGCAATGATTAATAATCAGATGGTATTGTTGATCGTTTCTTTGCAATATACATATATTATGCAAACTAGAGCACTCGTTGCAATGTCTTCTTAAGCAAATGCGCAAAATGTCTTCTTGAGCAAAATTTTAAATTGAAAGAGACTTTATACATCCTAACGGGATTTTCTAACCAACAATAACCATTTTAAGATAAAACCAATCCGAGTCCTAACCACGACTTCAAGCTTTTTCCCAAGTAAATAGCAGCATGTGCACAGCATGGCTAGAAGATAGCTTTCAGCATATTCCTAAACAGCATCAGCTTATGTTAATATAATAAAAACATAGATCTAATATATTTTCATGCAATATTATATTTCATATTTACAATTGTATGAAAATTGCATCCAAGAATTTCCATACAATGAAACAATTCTACACCGATCGATCTATCATGTATTAATTTTTTGATACAACTCGCGAATTATAAATTATTTTAAGTTATTTTCTTATATATAATTATAAAAAATATAAACTTTGTTAAATGTATTTCGTAACAGTATTTTACTGATAGAGCAATTTGCCAGAAAAGATTTTAGTTATCGTAGTATGAGTTGTATGTAGCATTGCTGAATGTTTTTATCGTAATGTAAAATACTGACGCTCTCATATTTTTTCTTTTATACATTGACGTTAATTTATATATATATATATATATATATATATATATATATATATGTATACATACATATATGTATATATAAAATTGTTCAAATGCAAAAAACATTTATATTATTTTAAAGGAGCAAATATTAACAAGTTTATAATTTAATATATGATCGATCGGATAATACAAAATGTAAAAACTAAAGTCTTATTTGTTTACTGTTTCAGGAATATTGACTGTAAACGTGAGCGTGCTGCTGTTAAGCTTAGCTTCTCCAGACGAATCCAGTCTGGTAATATAATTATGATTTCTCTAGTTAATTAGATATGTTTGCTTTAGTTAATTAGAAGAAAAATAAATGTAACACTCTCTTTCTTATATACGTATATATATATATTTATATATATATATATATATATATATATATATATATATATATAATCGACAAATCTATATACAGCTACAATTGTAGTTGTAAATTTTTTATGGATCTTCATATATAGGTAGTCATAAATTAAGATTCAATCGATTAGGATATTGCCATCTTGCTTTTACAGAAATACGAGGTGGAATTCTTGCTACAACAACAATGGTACGATCCACGATTACGTTATAGTAACAAATCCAGATTCGAATTTTTAAATGCGATTCACCATTACGAAAATATCTGGTTACCGGATACATATTTTATAATGCATGGAGATTTCAAGGACCCTATCATTCCCGTTCACTTTGCCCTGCGGATATATCGCAACGGCACTGTCAACTACCTTATGCGGTACATATAATACCAATATATTTAATATAAAAATTTTATTTTATAAAAATAGAAAATATATCTTAGATACATAATAATGTTATCTGCAAAATAATAAATAAATATTGATTCAATAATTGATAATTCACAGTCTAAACTATATGAGAAGTGCTTCTGATTATTGAGATATATCACGTTTAATTACTTTCTTACTTTTGCTACTCTATTACTTTTTACATTTATTTAAAAATATATATCTTTACTAAGAGACTAAAAAAAGTTACTGAGAGTCATACCGGTTCAACATATACACACACCTATATTACTGTCAATATTAAAGTTATTAGTGTAAGATTCATTAAAAAGAATATGTAGAGTAATAAATATAAAAAAAATGATATCTCACAGAATCAGAAGCAAGACTCATATAATTTAAAGTACAAATTATTCAGGATTTTATTTTGCAAAATAATATATCTCAAAATAATAATGATCCATAAAGTGTTAGCTTTTATAAATATTTAACATTATTGCAAACACTTTTAGAAACAAATTTTGTTTTAGAATTTCTTGCGAATAACTAGAAAATATTGAATAATCATTTTTTATTCCCCTTATATTTACGTAAATAAATTACTGTTAATTTATAGGCGTCATCTTATCCTATCCTGCCAGGGTAGACTTAATATCTTCCCCTTTGACGACCCATTGTGTTCATTCGCGATCGAGAGCAGTAAGTATCACGTTTGGAGTAGAATAACTTTTAAGTAGAAGCAATATAAAAAAAACACGATTTTCCCAACACATGCAATGCATGAGAAAATTATTAAAATCTATTCTTATCTTCTAGTATCTTACGAACAGACAGCAATTACGTATGTATGGAAAAACGACGAGGGTACGTTACGAAAAAGTCCAAGCCTAACGTCACTAAATGCATATCTCATTAAGAATCAGACAATCACATGTCCGATCAAAGTGAGCTGGAGAGGTAAGTAAAAAATCAATTGCATGTTTTATTAATCCATTTAGGAAAAGAATGTGATTTAAGATGATACGCGCATAATTTTCAAGAATGTTTCTGAAATTCACTTTATGAAAATAATATGTTTGTTCATATTCTTATATATCCATTGTGAATTATTAAAATTAAAAAAAGAATAAAGTCAAAGATTCTGGTATTGGATAAAATACAAACGAGGAAACGAAATAATTAAGAGCCAGGTGCAGTGAACAAGACGCGAATTATTTGTCGTCTAATAAAAATTTATTGATCAATTATATAAATATCGTACGTTTTGGTCTTTGATCAAAGCATGTCTAATTCAGATAGCAATGAAAATATTCAACACCTGACTTATTTCAACATTCCGTACGTTCCGATATTTTCAGAAAAATTCAAGTCTGTGGTTTACTATCTTTCTAGAATAATAAATATAAATGCATACATAAATATCATATATGGATAAATTATAACATTTTATCCATGTACATAAAGATATTCTGCCAAATGAATTGCGCAGCAACGTAGTAAGATTCCCTATAGAAACTGCTTTTATGTCAGACAGATAAATAGACTTTTGAAAGCACCGCAATCACATTTAACAGAAATACAACACAGCGTTATCATTGCAGACTACAAGCTGACTAACTAGAAGTTCGCATGGAAAGAGATAGAAATATTAAATGGAGCTTTTCCCTGATGTTGGAGATGATATTCGTTAAGAGACAAAAAAACAGTTTAAACCTCCAGAGTGACATGAAAAGTCTTCCGCGTTTATTTCACGTTGGTAGGGAATTTGCTTAAAGTTTAAATTTGTCACTCGTTATTAACGTCATTTCAATTCATAAAAAACTTGGCGGTGCTTATGTTTATTTTAGATTGTAAATGTTATGCGATCAATATTCAATATTTACATTTAATTAACTGATAGTTGGGTTTCTTACTTTTGTGACTTTCCATGTCTACGTGTGCTGAGTCATCTTCTTATTTAAAAAAAAGTCCGGCTCAAAAGAATTATCCCTTTAATAATCGACGCTTTCTAGCTCACGCGATAACCCGAATTCGGGCATTGTACTCGTATAATGTTTCTACATTGAGCAATCACTGCCAGATAACTTTTTTCCTCAGGCATTATTGCGATCATTCGTCGTAGAAACCTCGCTGAAGTCACGGAAGAGCATACATTCTTTAATTGATTCATGCATGTATTTTTATACATGTAAAATTAATTTTTTTTCACGTCTTATATATTGTTCAATAATTGCTGATAATGGTCTAATTCAGATATTGCAAAACGTACGGTATTTATAACTAATCAATAAATCTTATTAGAAGATAAAGACTGCGTTTTGTTTACCGCGCCTGACTCTTAATGCGCTCGTTTCTCTCCGTTCGTGTTTTGGAAAAATTTTATTTCTTTTATACCATCTTTCCATTTTTCTGTAATCTGTTTTTATTGCAGAAATTCTTATATAAAATGTTCTAATTTTATTGAAACGTGGCCTTTTTATAAGTTTATTCTTTCAATGATTATCTCAAAAATAAATTTTATTTTATATATATGTATATATGTAAGACGATATTGCATTTGACGATCAGATCATGATTTGTTGATCTAAATTATCTTCAAATTTTTACTCAACATTCATGAAGAAACCTATGATCGTCTTTATTCGCAACACTTTCTTATCTATAAATTTAACAAATATTTACCATAAAAATATCTTTAAATCATTTATTTGTTTTCTTCCTAAATTCATAAATTGCAGGTATAAAATTTATTATAAAACCATTATTTGTCATTTTGTTTTTTTTATTTCTGTCAAAATTTATTCCTTTAAATTTTTAAATTGTTAATAATTTAAATATAAAATATAAATATCAATAAAATAATATATTATCGTATAAATTTATATATCAATCTTTTCTAACGGCAAACTAAACAAAATTAATTTTGAATTTATTTTCATTACTGTTTTTCATATTTAATTTAATCACAATTTTCGGAAAATGATTAATGTTGTTGGCGATGTTTATGTATAGAGTATACTATAATGAAAAAGAGAAATGCACGCATGCCTACTATTTGACAGCATAGTCCATATTTTTTTTGTAGTAAAATGCTTAATTTATTAATGCTTTAAATGCGCAGCTGTTTTTCAATATCGCGTTTTTATTTCTCTTTCCTGTTTTTTTTCTTAAATAAAAAAAACAATTTTTTAAATATTCAGTTCTTTTGAACAAGATTTGCTATCTTCATAAATTTTTTATGAATCGTTAAACATTTTCTTAATTACATTAACAGACATATCAAATATGTACATATGTACGAAAAATATATATCAATAGATATGTATATACCTATATAGAATACAATGTTAGTTCAGTCGTAATAATATTACTCTTATTTAAAGAATAAACACTTTTAAATTAATATTTAAATAGTATGCCCATTTAAAATTTTTTAAAAGAATTTTTATGTATATATTTTTATGTAAAATATAAAAGTTTCATTTTGTCAAAAGTATATATATATATTTCATATACATATATACTTTTATATACTACATATATATTTCATATACATATATACTTTTGACAAAATAAAACTTTTATATCTTACATAAAAATGTGTACATACATACAAACTCTTATATATGAATGAAACTTTCATGCATATATATATTATGCACGAAATAATATATTAGCATATACATATGTATATACATATATAGGCGCACAAGAGAATCACTTGTGCATGCGATATAGCAATTATCTGTATTGTGTTTCTATTCCCATTTGTTAGTTAACATCGTAGTATTTGTGTTCTGGCGAGTGTATATACATACAAAAATAGATTCCTTAGAAGATGCATATTGGCAACCTTGGATCCTGTCTCGCTTTTCAATTGAGCCCGCCGTGGTTTGTTTTTAGGGTGAGGTTTTCTTTCTTGTAATGATTGTTCATCGAAACATCCTTGAAGGGTGTTTTCTCTTTGCTTTCTCGCACTTACAATCGATCTGTTTGCCACTACGGTATCGTCAGCTATCGCGAGCAAATTTGAAGAAATAACGAAGCTCATCGCACGGCCTTTTGTTGCCGTGCAATAAAAATATAATTTCGTTTCATTGTAATATAAGTTTTACTAACAACTTTTACTCATTACGGATGGCTTCTGCTAATATAGAAATTAGGATATATGTGTATAAAATATTGACTGTGCTGGCAAGCTATTAATGACTTTAGATCGCTTCTTGGTCGTCTTTTTAGTACGGCGAAAGACTTTCAATTTTGAAACGTTGAACTATGCAACATATCTTGACTATATATATATATATATCTCTTTTTCATATATAGATACTTTTTTCGAAAATCCTAAAATAATAAATAAATTGACAAATAGAATGCTATTTGCAGTCTATTATCAATTTATACGCATTATCATATTTATAGCACAAACTTTTAATCACTTTAAAATTAAAGACTCAACAAATGTATTTATAAATGTAAATAAATATAAATTAATTTGTCATAAATAATTTAAGTCTATCGTCTTAAAAAGTCTTGTTAGTTAATATATTTTGCTCTAAAGGACTCAACCATGGCGGAAAGCAAGTTATGCTTGATCTATTATTTAGAATAACGATAAAATACAATTATTTGTAAGACTAACTACTTATTAAAAGATTTACAATTAAACATGTAAAGAATTTATACTATAAAAATAAAAATATATTTATGATTAGGCAAAGTTTATATCTACGCGATTTTATAAAAGTGCAGAGCGAATAGATCTTAATATACAGAATTGTCTAGTCTTTCAATTAATCATTTTTTTTTAATTTTAACAAATTTTGTTATCATCGATAATTACAATTTTTTCTATTCTAATTCAAAATTATTCATTTCTTCTAAACTGACATTTTGTTTACTTTTGTTAAAATGTAAAATAATTCGAATTAAAGCTAATAGTTTTTCAATAATTTGCAAATCTATTTTGAGTGAGAAACAAGTTCACAGTAAATAAAATATTATAAAGATTATATATAATGGATCAAGCGTTACTCTTTGCTCTGTGAAAATTTGTTCTTTCTCTTCGAGAGCTCGTAGAAAGATGCGGAAGGAAAAATAGAAAAAGATAGGAAAGAAAGATCGTGGGGTATTCTGTTACAGCTGATGGACAAATTATGGTCGATGAGGACGAGTTCGATGAATTTGGAGACTCTAAGTGCTCGCTATGCCAGCGCAGGTTTGAGGAGCAAGGTAAAAATCACATCTATCTCTTTGACACGAGTGTAATGCGTGTCTGTAAAACAATTCAAAAAGGTATATATAATGAGAGAAAGAGAGAGAGAAAGAGAGGGAGAGACAGGACCAAGCTTACCAAAATTCGTGATGCCAAGACAAATAAATATTCGATGTTGCTTCCTATATAGTATATATTGATTTGTGCAGTAATGCAATAAAATTGCCCTTCAATTTGGAAAATTGTAGACATTGGACACCATACAAACGTTACCAAATTTATAGTTAGATCCTTGCAAATGTTAAAGCAATAATTTACTCCCTCATATATGTATTACATTTTAATTACATTCAGAATTGCATTACGGGTCTTCGGAAAAGGAATACCGTAAGGATATATTTTTCTTTCTTATTGTAAAACACATTTAAATGTTGGCTTATAATATATATATATCTACATGTATATATGTATATATACACACAAATACGTATATATATGTACATATTTGATTTATATATATTAGCGCTTAGTAAGCTTAAATTGCAATTTTATGTAGAATTACTGCCATATTATTGTCCATGAGCACTTGTCCATTTATAGTGCTTTATATTTTTGAAGATATAATGATAAAAAAAAATTTAGAGTATTTTTATTTGAAAGTAAACGCCGAAGGATCGATACATTTCTAAATAAAATTATTTAAACTGAACGAATAATATATAAGTTCTCTGGGAGAAGGAAATGTTTACGTGCGGTAAATAATTGATATAAATTCTTGAATAGTTAAACATATAGGTTATAAAATGAAGTTAAAATAGTCCCTATACACCAATTTTATTTTTCTTATATATCCATATTAAGCTTTGCTTTTTTCATATGTTAATATTTTTTATTTGCACAATATTTTTGCATTTAATTTTCTTGTCTGCTACTAGATATCCACGCCATAAAAATAAGTATATTTTGCTTGAAATTGATTTACATAAAAAATCCAAATACGGGAGCTTCAAATTATTTAATAAAGTAACAATATTATGTGTGTGATTAAATGTTGTTTACACAAATCGTTCGCGTTGTAATTATTGGATGTTTATATATTTTTGTCAATGTTCTAGAAAAATAAGCAAAAAGTTGTATTGGGGTTATTCGTAAGAGAAATTGATTTATCATAGTTTGATGTTCCCTAATGATATAGATGTATTCCTTCGTGCCTGCCAATCTTTTAACAGATCCTTTTTTGATGCCAACGTTAGTACTTTGCTCAAGTGCTTGAAATGCTTTTGTGAATATGGCAATTAATGGCCACAAATTGATAAAATAATTTATACGCTATTTTTTTATCTTTTTTCTTTTTCTTTCATATATAAATTACAACGTTTTTGACACAAATATATTTTGACATTTTGTCACTTATAAAGCGACAAAAATATAGCACTATTTTATATTTTTAATTATCTTGATTTTACAAATATCTTGATTATAAATATTTTAGTAAAATATTTCTTTAATTTTTAGAAATATTATAATTGTATATCTGACAATAAAAATATTATTTTTTACATAAAATTTAGTATTTAAGAGGTCACTGATTATAAATGTGAGATCAAAATTACAAACCGAATTCAAAATGACGGATATGGTTTTGGAGAGTAGTTTTTAAAAAGATAGAAATTATTAATTATGAATCTGAGATAAAAATCACAAAATTTAAAAAGGCGGATCCAATATGATAATCAAGTAGATAATTTTTGCATATATATACATCAATCCGCACTTTAATATTTGCAGATTTTTTTGAATTGCAATGATTATAAATAATAAGTCAAGGTATAAATTCAAAATAACAAATCTAATAGATCCAATATGTGTGTGGCAGCATAGTTTTTTTTAATTTTGCAATATTTTCTGCAATAATCTACCGTTTTATTTTTAATATCAGATTCGTAATCATTATAATCCTAAAACTTGTAGTTTTACAAATCTATAAATATTTATTTGTACGTTATTTGGCAAGAATGAAAACATTTTTATCCCTATACAAAACCGCGAGACATTATAACTCAATGTTATATTTTAAATCACATATTTTGCCTTATATATTATAGTAATTTCTTAGGGTCTGTTTTTCAATAATAGTTTAAATTTAGATCGAAGTTTAAATTATTATTGAGTTTATAGCATTGTATCTTTTCGAACAAAATCTTCATAACTTTAGAAAATAAACAAAAAAGAAAATTACAGCTCTCTTTAAAGAATCTCTCTAAATTAATATTGAATTAAGTAGTTCTTATTAGCAGATTAGCAAATAAAAAATAACTTTTAATATTCAAATATCTATATTTAATTATCATGAATTATTTATTTCTACTACTTGAACTGATATTAAAATATTATTATTTTTTTTTATTTTTAAAGGAGTATTGAACTCTTATATCAATCCTTGTATTACATAACATAAATAAAATTACGTATATGTGATTTAGGTAATTACAGCTGCTTGAAAGTGGATTTAATCTTTACGCGAGATCGCTCTTTCTATTTTACCACGGTTTTCATCCCGGGCATTATTTTGGTAACCAGCTCTTTCATCACATTCTGGCTTGAATGGAATGCCGTGCCGGCGCGAGTGATGATCGGTGAGTCTATGCAGCACAATGCCATTTTATAATTCGAGAGAGAGAGAGAGAAAGAGAGAAATGTAGATTTATATATTACGATAATTTCAAAAATTCTATTATTTGAACGATGTTAAATAAGGCCTAGAAAATTTGGTCAACGAAACTTTTCTTTTAAATTTTTTAATTTCTAGATAATTTTTTCTTATCAACCTTATTTCTATGTCGATTGCTAAAGTTTTAAATGCTCATCGGTACAAGATATTAATTAAAGCCAAATACCTGTCCCAAGTACTGTCTCAGAATTAATAAAAACTCAAACTGTCAGTTAAAATTTCATTTTAAAAATTGTTCTGTGATTTCAAGTATTCTTATTTTAGTCTAAAGATGATTAATTTTTCTTGTTTTTAAATTTAAATTAGATATTAGATTTGCACTAAAATTTTTGATACAAGAGGTACACGCAGCTTCTGATATGGGTATTTGTCGAATAAAATGAATGTCTCCAATCATGTTTTAGGTGTAACAACAATGCTCAACTTTTTCACTACGTCGAATGGCTTCCGGGGAACGCTGCCCGTCGTTTCAAACCTGACTGCCATGAATGTATGGGATGGCGTGTGCATGTGCTTCATCTACGCGAGTCTTCTCGAATTCGTTTGCGTGAACTATGTCGGTCGCAAGCGACCGATGCACAACGTTGTCTATCGTCCAGGCGAAAACCCCGTCACCCAGGTATTTTGCTGATTGACATTTTTTTCCGACGCGACGCATAAATCGCACTTTCATACTCAACGGATATTCAACGACGCAAATTTGTGTGTGAATGGAGCCGTACTGCCTTTTCAATACAATTAATATCAGTTAACACACATATTATACACACACGTGTATGTGTGTGTGTGTCTGTCGTCATACATACACAAATGTCCCGAAATTCGTGATACAAAATACTGCAGCAAGAAAGTTCTCTCAAAATTAAGCAGTAAAAATATTTACCATTTTTTATTTTAACAGTTTTAAGGGAGGTATAAGAATTTAAAGCTGAACTATTACAAGATTCGTTCACAATTCACTTGTTTATGAATCATATATACATATATATATATATATATATATATATATATATAATATATATATCACTAAATACTATGGTGCATATGAGTCACAGGCGAACAAGCGGTTGTCTAAAAATAATCTGTGTGTTTAATTGATTTTATAAGCCTTTATGTTAAAAACTATTGCTTAGAATAAAAAATTGTAAATATTTATATTAATTGTACATGTTTTAATTTTTCGAAATTTTCTTGCTGCAATATTTGGATTTGCAAATTTCAGAGAAAACACTCTGTATACATATACACATACAAGCACATACTTACAATATGCATATATATATACATATATACACACACGTATATATATATACACATATTTACACATACTTGATTTATATTTTTATATAAATATTTATATAAAATAAATTAAATACAAATTGGCAAATTTAATTGGCATGAGTTATTTTATTTTAATCAATGATAATTGCTCTTTTTAAATCAATTCTAAATATATTTACTCTTGAAAAATAATTTATATCAAGTGATATTATTTATTTAACAAGTAAATATATATAAAAAAAGATTTGTATTGATTTTTGGTTGATATAAACAGTTATATATACAGAAAGTCCGGTGACATTAGAAAATATTGGTTAATTTTCAAAAGTTAATTTATTATTCGGAATCAGTTTAAGAAAACCAATCATCGTTCGATTAAAATCAAATAATTTGAAATAAATGAAATTTTCATGCTTTTATTTTCACATGATCACGAATAATTGTTTAATATATATAAATATAAATCTAGTATGCAAATACAAAGATTTAATTTGAAAATACGAAGTATTATATATTAAATATTTTCAATCAGTTTTCATAAAACTTCATGCACAACAAATACCATAGTTAGATAATACAGAGAAATTTTGCAGAGAAATTATTAATCATCCTGCTGGTTTATATCGACTGTAAGATTATTGTCATTGTTGAGACCACAAACACAGATTATTCGCACGAATAAATCAATTTAAAACGATATCCTCTAAACGATATCTCTCCGAGTTACAATCTCGCCTTATGATAATAAATAATGTTGACCTATTAGATAAAAATCAAATTATCAGTATCGATAATATGATCTTGTTAGGATCTGGCAATCTTCCTTTTAATAGAAGCAAATTAAAACTTCGTTTATTTTGTAAAGTTTTATATAAAGTTAAACTTAATTCACATCAGCTTTGCGATCATCTTTCTGATTTCATCGAATAAGAACATTTCGTAAGAGGATTGTGTGACAAGAAATGACAAAGTGACAGTAACGTCGATTTATTTGACGTAATGTAATGGTCCCCATAATATTGCTATCCTATATGTGCAGCTCTACCGCAAAACGCACTTTATTGATATTAGTATAATCAATATTTTGCTGTTTCATACTATGTAATTCATCAAATTTTCGGTAATATTAAATTTTTTTTTAATCAAATGCAAATACATAATATAACATTATTGTTTTGCAAAAACAAAATGTCCAATGACACTTAATACAAAATAAAATAGTCACTATACATATAGTGGCGTTTTGTCCTATAAAATAGTTTAGAGAGAAATTTTCATGCACTATAATGTGATATATACATATAATATGCAAAAAGTAATCGTGTAATTGAAAATAATTGTTTGCTACAATATATTTTAAGTTCTGTCAAATTTTTTCAGAATACATTTTTTATACTTATGTTTGATATTTATCGCTCGTTTCTTTTTTATTGCGTTTATATCTTGCACATATGAACATGTTGGCGTGACTTTGCACAAACACAGTATGATCTTGTCTAATATCTGCATCTCTCGAGACTTTTATATTTATATCTTTAAATTCGTATGTTTTCTTTTTCTAGAGAGTGTGAGTGTTACTTTCTGTCAAATTTCAGCCAATGTCATTTGTGAACCGCAAATTTATTGGATAAGAATCACGCGCGAATTTTGCCGCATTTTTATCAGCAATAATCGATTGATTCTTAAAACCATCTGGAGATCCACAATATTTCACGATACATGTTTGACAACACTCATTGTGTAACGCATCAATGTTTTGGAGTTAGCACAAGAAGATATCTAAAAAAGAGACACGTTTAAAAAAAAGAAAAAGAAAACAACTCGGACGTATCTTAAAGAGATAACCCAGCATATAACAAATTTGAGCATCATTAACGCGGTATTTCTTTGAGTGTTTTTATTATTTTTTAAAAAGACTGCAATATGTATGTCTTTACCATTTGATTCATTTTGTTTCTCTTAATTCTCAGATTTCTTTCGTTTTTTATTTTTTCTATTTATTCTTACTTTCATTTAATTTTATCCAATTTCTCTTTTCTGTTATCAGTTTCATTAATTTCTTGTTTATTTTTATGATTTACATTCACAATATATAACATTTTTCCTATCTAATCTCTATGTAGATTTATAAGATAATTCCATCTCACAATTAAATACCGCGCGCTTCTTATATTGAAATGAATTTTATTTTATAAAAATTCAAAATATATTAATTATATATATATATATATGTATATATATATATATATATATATATATAAAAGCGTAAATTACATTTATTATTGAGGTACTTAATAAATGGCAATACCATGTTGTATATATGACGTGATTAATATTTACACGTTATAATCTGTCAAAAAAGATCAAGATTTCAAAATTAAAGAAATCAGAATTCCATCATTCAATTAGAATCTATCTTATAATTTAAATATGACTTATTAGAGGATTAGAAAATATTTCTAGTTGTTGCTAGGAAAGTTCATGAAAATGAAAATCGACATATTGGAAATTTATGAAGGAGAGTATAAAGAAAAAGAAAAATATCTGACATGTTCTTTATTTTCTCTTTCTCCTTTTTCTCTGTCTCTTTCTCTTTCTCACACACACTCTCTCTATCTCTATCTCTCTTTCTCTTTCTGTCTGTCCGTTTTTGTTATAAACACGATTAGTAAAGAATTTGGTTGGTGGAAATGTTGGTAAGTCTCTTTGTTTGGTGTCTGTGATGTTACAGCGGCTCCCAGCGGTACTCAGCAGGATAGGAATTATATTGGCCAGCCCTTTGGTAAGATCTCCCATTGTGTTAGGACACGGTCATGATTTCGCGCGTCTTTGATTTCGCAAAATGCGAATTGCAAAATGTACCATTTTATGATTTATCGGAATTTTCATTATGAAAAAAATACAAAAAAATCCATAAGAGAATTGTAATGCAAAAGAGAAATGTATACTATAATACGCGCATATTTTCATATAAATAATAATGCCAAACAAAATTAATTAGAAAAAAATGGAAAAAATGCACGTGCAAAATCTTAACCGCGTCCTAAAAACATATACGTATATAAACACACACACGTACAAATACAGATACTTGTTACCATTCCAGACGCGTATTACGTACGTATACTCTAGAAACTCCACATATTTTTATCATACTTCCATATATTACTAGCGATATGTGATGAGTATAGAGATGGAAAAATTTTACAAGGATAAATTTTCGAAATCAAAAATATTTTAAAACAAAAGGTTCTGATATATAAATAGAAATTCAAATAGGAAACGAATTAATAAGAGGAGTCAAGAACAGAAATTAGGCGTAATAAACTTATTATAAAATCTGTTTTATTTAATTTGTTATTAAATTAAATGAATAAGATTTTAAAATAAGTTTGTTCTGTCTAATTTTTCTGTGTTTGACTCTTATTAGCTTGTTTTTTATCTGAATTTGTATTTAGAAATATTTATTTTGATATTTATATACGCACATATATACTGTATTTATTTTTTCATATAAGGTTTCCCTGATGTTTTCGTAACGATATTTGTTCTCATTGTGGTAATTATGGATGATGGATGATATAATTAGTTGAACAGACATACATTTTGCAAGAGAATTAGGACAATGACCGCCATTAATATGACAAAATCAGTTGTCAGTTACAACAAAACCAGTGCATGTACAGTTACATATACATATATGTATGTATTTAATTTTATGCCATTTTATATGTTGCTTTTTGTCTGAATACGAAGATTCAAAAATTTATACAATAGCGTTAATTAAAAATTATCTCTAACTCTCATTTGAGAAATTTTAGTTAAACAAATAAAAAAAACCAATATTAAGATTTGTTTTATATAATATTAAACAGAAAGTATAAAATAAACTGGCACACACATACACACAACATGCAGGATGTTTCAAACTATTAAATGTTTTCTTTAATAGCAAAGTCGTTTTCAAATTTGAAAAAATTGTTATTATTAAATTATCGGAAATGCTGTTTATTAAATGACAAAATTAAATATCAGGCGTTTAGTAACCGTATAACATTGGATTATTTCTTTTCGCGCTTATACTCGGATTGGCCGATTTTTAAAATAATCTTAATCGATAAAATGATGTGTTTATATTATATATGCGCAACAATTTTAAAGAATTCACCAAAATTTTATAAATCGCGCGCTAGATCTTTCTTTCTATATGCCTTTCTTGTCTATATATCTGTTTCTGCCCATCGTAGGCATTCTAATAGTTATTTATGTCTTATCTGTTGATCATTTATTATATATTATTAATATACATTAGTGTTACTATTTTTCGAACCTTATTCTCATTTATTATCGCTGATATCTCAACATATCAACGTTGGTAGTCTCCTCATTATCTTTATGTTTTTTAAATATTTTTTAATACATTTTTTAATGTTGCTCCTAGCTTTTATAATAATGTCCGATCATCTCGAATTACTCTTTTTATTTTGTTCATTCATTAATAACTGAAATCAATAGGAGGCTTACCAAAGACGAAGACTGAGGACGATGGGAACTAAAAACAAATTTGTTTTTTGTCACTTGAATTACTAAACATACATACATGTAATGTTATATGAAAAAATTGTTAATGTTTTCTTTCGATTTGTTTGACTAAATATATGACTAGCTAAATGTATCCTCACTTTAACCACACAAGAATTGTCACAATGATAACCAATAGAAGTTTAATTACAAATACATCAGGTAAATATTTTTTTTATACAAAAAAAATACTGTCTAATTTTAAACATGAAAAAATATAAATACAAAAATATATCTATGTATGTATGTATGTATGTACATTATTGCATAAAAGAGAGAGTTTCAGAACATCTTACATTTTTGCATAATAATTCACTTTTTCTACACAAAATATAAAGTTATAAAGTAACTTTCTTTTTCTACACAAAATATAAAGTTATAAGTTATAAATTCTATTACTTTCTATCACAAACTTAGTCTGATAAGTTTGCAAAATCATTACAAATTTCTGAAAGAAATAAATATGATGCACAAAAAAAAATATTTTACTAAAAAGTTATTACCTAAACTTTAAATATAATAATTAAATAGGTGTAATATAGGGACATCTAAAATTTAACTATGTAGCTAATATTTTTTTCCGTGTATATATTAGTCGAAAATAAAGTCGAGAACTTTGCGTGAGATAAATATTTAAATATACATATATACGCGATTAAAAAGTATGTTAACAATATTCTCATAAAACGTAGGTACCAAGTTAAATAAATCGTTAGTTAAGTTATGAATAAAGAGGAATGAGTCATAAAGTAATGAAAAAGAATATCTTTCGAAAAATGCGCTGCTTACATTAAAAAGATTTTAAAAAATAAATGATTTTATATACTTATCAGAGTAGATTCATGATAGAAAAAGTAAAATTTGTAAAAACCATTTTAACTCTATATTTTAAGTATAAAAAGAGAAATTAGAAAAGAGAAATTATTAGAAAAAACGTAAGATATGTTGAAACTTTTGAGCGTTAGTTATATATGTATGCTGTACTATACTACATATATACTATATATACACACACACATATATATATATCTATATATATATATATATATATAAAAGAGGTAGGTTTAAAAAGTTCCCAAAATTCATTTATAAATACATAAATAATTAACTTTAGAACTATTTACACTACATGTTTTCAAAGTAATCCCTTTGAGCAATTATACATCTTTGCCAACAATTATAACGCAAAAAATAAGCATTTCCTGGAAATTAATTTTCGATAATTTTTTCAGTTTGTTAATTTCATTTTCCTCGGTCGTCACAAAAAATGTTTATGCAATTTATAAAACCTATGATATTTTTATTACTGTCTCATAGTAGATTTATTCTGCAGTTGACATTTTCAAATGCAACGTATTAAAAAATGCAGGAAACAAATAATAATTTTTATTTTTTATTTTAAAAAAATTTTTCAAGTTCCAAGAACCACAGATTTCTATATATTATATTAAACCTAACGAAAAGATGCAAAGACATATCTTATTAGACAAAATATATAGGACAGCAAAGTTAGAGAAAAAAAAATACAGGAACATTATATACAAAATTGGTAAATAATAATAAAATAAATTTATCGATATTATAGTTTTAGTTGCTAACGTTGAAGCACTATTAGGCAAACATTAGCTGTATTTTGAAAAAAAATCTAAAGTTTAAAATTTAAAGATAATTTATAGCAGATCTTATATCAACGTTTTAAATATTGAAATTAATAGAGAAAATAATTATCCAATAGAAAAGATAGAGAAGGATGTATCTAGCTATTGTTCGACCCAAAGTTTGATACCGAGTGTTCACTATCATGCCTTATTAATTTAAGAGAAACATATCACCGAATTTTACCTAATTAAATATATAATAACCCTTGCATCACATTTTATCATGTGAGCTTTATACATATGTGTTAACGTCTAATGTACTTTATAGAAGTCTGAACTTTTTGAACCTATTTTATATATATATATATATATATATATATATATATATTTATATATATATATTTATATATATTTATTATTATAGAAATATAAGTGCGCGTGTGTATGTAGGTGAACAAGTCGTGAATGTGTGCGTGAGTGTATGCCTAAGTGTGTGTAATGAATTTGAGCGTGTGGGTATGTGTATATTTGTGTATATTTGTATTTTTAGTTTCGTATAACAGCGAAAAACAATTTGAAAATAAATATTGCCATAAAAGATATTTAAAAACTTGCAAGCTTTCTCAATAGTATTCAATAGTAGCAAACTACAAAATATTTTAATATAAATAGTTTTTGCTCTTTGTTAATATTCGAATAAATTACTTTTTTACATGCTTTTTTATCATACATCTCTGCCTATATTTTTTCAATGTAAGTGAGTGCATTTTAAGTTAGATGCAAACGCATATATATAAATGCACAAAAAAAATGATCTAATTTTCTAATGAATAAGTGACAAGCAAATCAAGTTGCATAGTTTGATTAATCTCTTAAATTTCATACAATAAAACTGTAGCAAAAGCTTACAAGAACATTTAAAATATCATAATCTAATCAAGTTTAATATGAATTCATTCAGTTTCATTATTTTAACACATTGCTGTGCATTTATATAAAATAGGTAATATGATTATATAGGAAAGAGAGGATCTCTCTCTTATTTTATAAATTTTCCTTTCCTTCCGCCTTTACTTTTCTTGCATCTGGTCTGCATTTTACATATATTGATGACGATAATTCATTAAAATGTACGTATTACGCATGAAATGCATGAAAGCGTGCCGTGCACATGCATGGATGCATGTTATAATTTCACTCAATGCTTTATCTGATGCTTCGATATTTTTTATGCTTTAACGCTTTAAAAATATCGTAATTTTATAATAAGTGAATTTACACAATAATGAAGAGAAAAAAACGCGTTTAATTGTTCCTCAATCGTTTTGTATAATTATTTTTATAGACATAATTTATAAAGAGTATATATGTACAAAAATGTCTATTATATTAAAGTTTTGCATTTTAGTGATTTCTGAGAATCTTAATTTTTCTATTTGTACTTGTTTATCAAATAGTAACTTTTATTAATTAATTGATAGTGATGTAACAATTTAGTTTTTCTTGTTTTCTTCGTGAAAAATGTTAAATTTTTAATCTACAGTAATAATCTACTTAAATAACTGGTATTTTTTCATTTTTGTATCTGTAATGAAAGCATTCATTAAGAAATATCGATGTGTTCTTTCGCGCTTGTTTTAATTGCTTCCGCTACATCACCAGCGACCAGGATTTTTTGCGCAAGGTAATTTTTATTGCACACCATAAATCTCTCTAATCAGCAAAGCATTGTTCAATATTTATATTTTTTGTTAATGTTCTTCTATTTTTATTAATTAATGTTATAATATTGAGTTTTCAGAAAGTTTTTTCTCGTTAGTCTTTTTCTTACGAAATATCAAAAATAAACTCTCTTAATAATGACATACGTAAAAAAAAAAAAAATATCCTAAATAGAAACATCATGGCCGCTGGCATATTAAAGACCATCACTTGCGCAAACAATATTTTTAAAACAGAAAGGCTTTGAAAGATGAGCATGCGGCCGAGAAGAAAAATAGAAAAATAATTTTCTGATAATTATCTTTATTGCTTTCTGCGTTCGACACCTTTTAAGCATAGCTCTCATGATCAATAATTAATTTCAATTAGGACAAACAAAGTAGAAAAGCGGCTTTCATAATTCATCAAGCTAATATATTCTTTTATTAATGCAAAAATCACGAACACATAATAGTAGCCAAAATTATTGCGAGTCAAAAATCAAAATCACGATTATAAAGAAATTATAAAACGTGTAACTAGCTACAAGTTATCATCTCGTTATATATACATCATGCCTTAATTGTGGTATCAACAAATTGCTTTTGCCATTAAACTACTTCTCATTTAAGCTTAACACATATCATAAGCTTAAGACAGGATATCTTTTGAGACGCAACAAGGCGGTGCGGAAATCCGTTCGAAAATTCATGTGGTTTTACGCAAATATTTTCAAGTGAGATCATGCTGAAAGACGTGCTGAGAAGTAAAGCTATTTTGTGTGTATATATCGTATATTATAAATTACTTTTTATTAGATGTTATCTTTCAACTATATATATTATCCAGAAAACTTTATTATTATATTTAAAAATGCCCAGGAATAATTTTAATCTAATTTTGATTCTGTTGTTCTGAGCTATTTAAATTTAAATATAATTTAATAATATACACTATATATATATCATACTATATAATTAAATGTAAAAATAAGTTGCGTTCTTCTCTCATCGTCTTTCCTATAAAATTTTGAAAAAATTGCAGAGAAATTTCTGGATTGCAGTGACATCAGTGGTTTATTTTGTGAGAGGGACGTGTGTTTGAGGATGTATTTTGTCGAACAAATTGTTTAGACATGTACAGTTGTTTGTTACGAGAATAATGTTCACATCGGATCTCCTGCAATTAACCAATTTTATAATCTTTCGAATAATGCAAATTTATATGTTTTAAATTATTTTTTTTAATAAGTAATCAATCGAGGTCTGATGTGGAACATCATAAGTAGATATTTATATAGCATGTAATTTATAAGTTATATTGCAGAGGCACGAGAAAAGTTAATTGATATACATATAATACTAATAAATAATATTAAATTATTAATAAAAAACAATGATTCACTCTTTGATGATTTCCACAATGAGCAGAAATAATTTCTGTGATTATCGATATTTAATTTTCTCTTCGTCGCGTAATATTTACAAAATTCATTACAAGTATTTCTGAATTATCAATGATATTATAACCAGTTCACGTATCAGATAGAAAAACGTTTTTATATCTCTCACACAAAGATTCAACACTATTCAATATTATTTTGAAATTGTAACAATTGTTGGTGTAATTTTTGCCGGACTGGTGAAAAAATAAATGTTTTGCATTTATTTATAATGCGAAAATAATACTCTATATGTGTCTTGGATACACATATATTTAATTTTTTTAAAGTGTCACATACAAGCAGATTGTTAAAGCCATATCAACTTCTTTTTTTATTAGTATATTTTTATGTTATTATTTAGCGTGTTTATATAAAATGTCATACTTGTCGATTATTTATTATTATATATTTTTTCGAAAAATCAATTATTCTGCTATTATATGACATATTAAAAAACGATAGACAATATTTCCATTTTTATTTATTTATCAATTACTTGACTATACTTGCTTGTATATGTATAAAAACGATAGATAATGATATGTAATGTAAACGTGAAAAATTGAAAATTGTCAATGTATATATATTTTGGGGGAAAAAAAGGAAAAAGATCTAAAAAAAGAACGAAAAAAATAGGAAAGAATGAATCATTGTTTAAAATGACGTAATGTCATTGAAATTATAAGTTTCTTCTACGGAGACCCTGTCGCAGGGTAAAAAGAAGCGGGAAGGAGGAACTACTACCGGTGGTACTACTGGAGCGAACGAGATTGTCACTTGCACTAATTGTGGACCTAATCCTTGCACGCACACGGCAACGAATGGTTGTACTGCCGAAGTAAGTAAATTTATATATATAATTTATATGTAATTTATATACACATATATTTCATATAGGTATTTTAATCCATTATGTGTGAATATCATTTGTTTCTTTTCTTTTCTTGAAAAATATAAAATTAGGATTAAAAAAAGATATATATTTTTTATTTGTTCTTTTACACACACAGAATAAATCCAAGTGATAACATTAATACAAATTGTTAGGCACATACACGCTACGAAACATCTATAAGAGACCTATTGCAGTATTTATATTATTCATAAAAAATTAAACTTGCAATATAGATACTAGTTTCGATCTTTAATCAGATTAAAGATGCAAGATTAAACTTTTATAAAGATTAATATAAATACTACAATAGGTCTATTATAGATATTTCATAGCGTGTACGTCAATGCCTGACAATTTGTATTAATTTTACCATCGTCACTTGGATTTGTGTGGTAAATATTAATCAGAGAAACACTTAATAAAATTCTTCCAATACCATATTGTCCCGATTACCATAATTTTTAGTAGAAATTCTAAGAGAAAATTCTCTCTGTGTATATACATATACACACACACACACTTGACATATAAAAAAGAATTAAAGAATAATTGTTTACATTCTCTTGTAAATCGAATATATAAAACCGATTTGTTTAATGCGTAATAACAAATTTGTTTTCTAATTATTAGTGATTCATATGATCGATATATGTATGTCTTAAGAAATCTGAAAGTTGCTCATAGTAAGAAAATTGTTCTCCTTACAGCTACGGAAAAAAGACCCGCCGCATCCAATTAGAGTGGCAAAAACAATTGACGTGATAGCCAGGATCACTTTTCCAGTCGCCTATTTCATGTTCCTCACTTTTTTCTTCATTCACTATAAGGGCACCTCGTAGAGAGCGACGCACAACGATCCTCGAAAGATCTCTCATCATTGGTATGAGCGACAACGAAGCCTCGTCATAGGCAACAACAATGCTCAGGCCATGGGGATTGAATCTACAGTGAGCTTTCTCTCAAGAACAGAAATACCTCTAAGTGTAAATAAAGATATCGATAATCGTATGAATTTGTGATGATTGGATCTTCACTGCGAAGATAACGATAACGTAACTCAACACGCAAAAACCGGAATTTTTAATGGAAAATCGTGAAATTATTCGTCTATAATGAACAACAAGCCAGATCAGCCGGATTAGCTTGAATAAGTAATGTTTGATAAATGAAGAGGAGAGAAAAAATATGCTGATGGAATATATTCGCAACCTAAGAAAGAAAAGAGTATCCACGAGACAGATTCGTCTTTGTTTATTCTTCATTTCTCTCACGTGTGATAAATTTTAAAAGCACTTCTTTATGGAGAAAGTAGATTCACGTCCGCTCCGCAACTATGAACAGCAGTCATGTTATACATTTATCTCTGTTTCTTTTTCCTCTCTTATATCTTTAGAAATAATAGATAAGATGCCGCCGGCGAACGCTTCTCAGTCAAACCAAGAGAATGACGCTTAGCTTAGTTAATAATGATTACACATAATATATAAAATATTATCATTGCGCCTAATTCGAACATCCTTATCAGGCATATGATAGCGAAATATCCGCAACCAAACATTAAATGTAGAATGATAGGAAAATAGAGAGAGAGAAAAGCGACAAGTACAGGATATTTCACATAACATGACCCATTCATGTTCTTTAACAAATATTGAAACCAATAAATAAGCGTTTTAAAATGATCAAAGATAATAGATAATTATAGATATATATATAGCTTTCACTGTAATATTTACATTTATACATAAATAAGTGAACGGCTCATTTTACGTGTCAAGTATTCTGTCAAATCGGATAGATGTTATTGAACGGAAAGCCGAATCGGAGGTGAAGACTTTTTGGTGAAAATATATACATTTATCATAACGTTTTGTGTACGTTGAAACCCAGGGAAATTGCCGCCATTCAACTTGATAGAAAATGGAAAATATAAAGTGCAGACTCTTGTTCACTTTATATGAAAAATATGGTAAATGCTAGAGGAACGAAAAAAGCGATTCGCAGTCGATTTAATGCGTCATATGCACTGCGGAAGAAAAACATCACCTTGATATTACTGAAAGTAGTAACATGCAATACTCTGATGTTTTCTTCTCAGAATACATTGATCACAACTATTTCTATGACACATGTCGAGCGCTGTCGGCTAATTCGAAATTTCTACTTGTAGCCTGCATACTATTTTAGGAACAGCATATGCTATGCTATGCTATACTATTATTATTATTACTGCTATTTTTATTATTATCGTAAAATTAATACATTATTATACTGTTACGGTTGCTATTCTATTATTGTATTATCGCTACTACTATACAAGTCACTGTTGTAATATTACAGTACTTACAATTAGAAGAGACGCAATGTCGGAGGCGCTTTTAAATGCGCATCCTCCATTTGTACTGATTGAGTTATACTTATCGTGTCTAGCAATATCAAAAACCAACAGACCAAGAAAATATAAACCGAATGTATATACCGGGAATATGTTTCGGTAATTCACTCGAGATACACTAGATATTACTTATAATTATAAGGAGATACGACCGTCTTGCTGTTGTTATTGCGCTATTCGCTATTGAATACGAGGAAAAATATTAATATCAATTAAAATATTAATATACATTTCTCAATATAGTGGAACATGTGGACACACAACACAAGCGCACGCACGCACGCACACACGCGTATATACGGACGACGAATGCGCATTCAAATTCGAAAAAAAACATGTATAAGAATCGATATATCTAATGGCGGTTAGCACTGATCTAAGTTTGTTATATAGTATGATGAAAAAATGTCAAGATATACATATATATATATATATATATTATCCAGTTAACATATAAAGTTCACCCAAAACTCGAATTATTTTTTTCTCTTACTTATCTCTTATGTTTATACAATGTAAGAAATCTTATAGACCTTTTTTTTTAATACTATATTTATGTTGTTATTACTGTGATTTAATATTAGGAAAAGTGTTTAGAGAGATATCCCGTATATATTGCTAACTGAGACGTCCACATATAAGAAGCCTGAACAATAAATATACTCATTAATACAGATCTCGTCTAACTGCCAAAGGACTTTCATTCTCACTGGCGTATAGATGTATGTATTTTTCTCTAACTTCGAAATCTTTTAATGCACATTGTAAAACAACAAGCATCGTTTTTTGAAAGATTGTGCAACTCTAATTATCGATGTCATCTTCAAAAAAAAAAAAAAAAAAAAACGCCCAAATAGAAATTTAGTTTAAAATGTCGCTTAATCTTTAAATGCATTCGCTTCAACAATGTTTATCACCTTATCAATTTTTACGAGAAAAAAGTCAAAAATAAAATAACAAAATAATAAACATCACACATTCGCGCAGCACTCTAATTTTATAATAAATAATTTAAGTGGTTAGTGATGCGCATCAATATGACAAAATTAAAGAAATTGAAGTAATTGAAATTAATTGTGTCACAGCCCTTTTTAATAAATAATTAAAATTATTATGTATTTCCGAAAATTGCCTGCAATTTTATTGGGTGGCCTTAATACACCTCATACAATAAAATCTCTAATTTTAGCCTTAATTTTGGCAGCATAAGAGTAACAATTTTTTGAAAAACCAAAATTAATGCAAACTTAATAATAAAAATCAAAATTTTTCACTATAAAAGTTGCCTAATTATTTTATTTACGTAGTTATAAATACAAAATTATCTGTACATGTCATTACAAAATCTGTCTATCATGACAAAAAATATGCGATATTGGTATTTTTGAAAGTACCTACATGTGGAAAAGTACCAAAATTAACAAGGCTAAAATTAACGAGACTCTATTGTATTTTCCTACTATTATATTAAAATCAATATTAATATAATTTTATTTGAATAAGTGTAATAATAAATGAAAAAGATTATGCAATTTCTGATTTTAAAAAATTCTTGATGAATTTATACATATAAAAACCGTTTCCAAATTTTTGTTATGTAATTTTTTTCAGAATAATCTAACATTCTATTTCTAAAATTATTCAACAGTATTTTACAAAATTATTGCTCAGATAAATTGTATTATTGGTTACGAGTTACGAATAAAATAGATATAATTAAAATAAAAGAAAAATGAGCAAGAAAATGAGAAAAAGGAATATATAAAATAAAAATTAAAAATATTTGTATATGAATATCGCACCTCTTTTAAGAGGTACCTTGCAATATATAATAAAATGTTGATTGTACGCAATAATATATAAAAATTCTTCAAACATGTAAGGCCAAAAAGCAGAAAGAATAGAAATGTCTTCAGTATGCAGTTTCTAAAATTAAAAAATTTTTTTTACTCTATGATGCTACGATATCGCGAAGAGCAGAAAGGGAAGAATAAAAGAAACAATAACACGCTTCCTTCTCTTGTCTATATATGCAAGCAAGATTTAAAAAATGTAGAGAGAGTAATAACAAAGTATCACACTACAATGGGATCAAATTAAAAAAAAAGTGAGAAAGAAGATAGAAAAAGAGAAAGAAAAAAGAAAATAATAAAAAAGAAGAAAGTAGGACAAAGTTGTAAGAGGAGAGAGAAAGAGATGATTGTTAGGCAATACAATTCGAAATAAGTAATTTTATTTAATAAATAATCAGTGATGCCTCAATTTGGAAATACAAACTGTCGGCTTTACTAATAAATATAAATAATAAAACTTACGAAAACAAGGAAAAGAATTACAAAAAAATTTTTCAAATATTTTAAAATTATAAATTAAATTTTAAATAAATTGTAATATTTTTAGCTTAATTAATTTAATTAATTTTAATAATTATGTAATGTTGCATAATAATATAAACTGACATTATTATAACCATTTGCCTATGACATCAAAAAGATGAAGTAATATATTTTTTTCTGATCGTCACATATACTTTTTTCGTCCAGATCAGTGTTTCTCATCTCCTTAAAAATTAGCCAAAGTTTAATTTTTAAGTTCTTGAATAGTAATATTTATTTCTTATAAGATTGTCGTATAATATATCGTATTAGTATCAAAGATATCTTAAATTTATCTAGACATCAAAAATAGTTTTACAGCTGCTTTTTTCTATAACATTACAACTTTTAACATTTTATTTAAAATAAATTTCTGCGATTTTCTTTAGACATTAGATAGTAAATAAAATTTAATTTGATTCTTAATGATTTAAATAGAATTTTACAGTGAAATATAAAATATAATTTACACAAAATATAAAAAATTTTAGTTGACGATATGCACAAATACTTCATATTTGTATAATATTTGTTACAAATATTGCTTTTATCATTTGGATTTGATTGTTTATTGCCTTTTAACAAAAAATAGCTGATAGTGTCCAATTGTAATTTTGGTAAATATTTTTATTAGTGGAATCAATCCCAATAATGTATAGCTTGATATATGTATATTGTCAAAATTATAATCTTGAATAAAATTTGAAAGATTTTAATTATTGTTTATTTACGTGAAAGTTAACAAATAAGTTTATGTAAAAAAAGGTAGAATCATAAAAACGTAATATTAATATTATATAAGTCTAATAGAATTGAATATCTTGCAGATAATAAAACGAGATAATATAATTCCTTGAAATTTCCAACATTAAAACTTGTTGAAAAATTGAGAAAGATCAAATATAAATAATTCATGTTTATATTGATTAATTCGATTAGTATATAATATTGACTGTTTTGAAAGAAAACAAAAATCCAAAGCAAAAACATCATAAATTTAAATATCAAAATTTCGTAAGTTGGTGCGAATAAATTTACTGCTGACTATCTCCAAATTAAAATTATTTATTTGGTGTATCATGTATTTAATATTATATTTCTTATTTTGACAATATATTATTATTATTATCAATTACACATACATACATACATACACAATTGATAATAATACATATATTGCCAACAAATAAATTATATTATTTGATATGTATATATTAATTTATTTCATATTATTATATTTTAAATTGTAAAACACGCTTTGGGGCCCATATTCTCGAACTAAGCACTTTTAGCAATTAAAATGGTTCGAAAATATGGGTCTTTGTGTTTCATAATTTAAAGTTACAAGGGAAATAAATAATTTACATGTAAATATATATAGATAACTTTGGCTATTTTTTAAAGAGTTTGGTAAGACTTTGCATTGTGATAAATCATTCTGTATAAAAAATGTCTATGTTTTATGTAATAAAATAAAAACAAAACATGCTAGACGGTAAATCATTTTTTATATAAATCTTTTGTCCATTTAAATAAATAAACCTTACTTCCAGATCCGTAACTAATGTGCATATGTTGAAATATTTCACAATAATTTTGATTTATGATAAAATTTCACAAGTATTATTTTCGGACGTCTTTACTATCATTATAAAAATATAACAGTGATTTTTTTTATTTGATCATATGTGTGTTCGCACCCCTATTAAAATCTTATAATTCGAAACACTGCCATGCAACTAAAGTATAAAAAAAAGATTATTATTTATGATATAAAGTGAACGTAAAGTTTGCGTATTATGACATGAAAAAACATGGAGATTCGTAAAAAATAAGATGTACATTATAAAAAAAATGTACAATATATGTGTAAAATCGAGATCTCTCATAACTTAAAAATATAGGCTTGCAAAATATATGCAGATTTAAATCTTAATTCGGACGATTCTACAAACTTGTTAGCTCTTGGTTAATTTATTATTTGTAAATACTTATTTATATTATTTATATTTATTATTTATAAGTATTATTTATAAATTATAAATTACTGCAAGTCCTCTTTGTGTGTGGCCTACGATTTACGGCTTATTTACCGATATTACGATCTACTGAAATAACACGCGAGCAATAATGAACGATTCTATCCGACGTAATCTTCGATTTGACAAATCTACATTCCAGAATTATATTAGTTTAATACACAATTATGCATTAATTCACGTTATGCATACTCGTGGTAATAATGCAATAATAGAACTGTTTTTAGTGAAAAAATTTTATGTGTAGGTAATATCCTCCCTCATCACAGTAGTTTTCATCACATTAGAATAGAAGGATATTTTCTGCAACGACTCTTCCTTACAAGTAGCAACAAAAGAAAACGCCTAGAAAACATTTTATTTTTAGCAGAATAATGATACAAAAGAAGTATATGTTAAAATTGAAAAACAAAGATCTTTGAATAGTATTTATTTTAAACGAAAAAGTTTAGAGAAATATATCTTGATTTGTAGAATATATATTTGAAATTTATATAATTTCATATTTAATATCAGGATTTTTATAAATTATACATTTATTTTTGCATTGAAATAAAATCGTTATAAAACTGCAGTGCTCAAATAAAAAATTTATTGCTTATGGTGTTTATCGCTACTTGGAAGGTAATTGTGCAGCAAAAATTCTTCTACGAACATATTCTAATGAATGTTTGTGACACTTCTTGCAGAGCTCAAGTATCACGTGACTGCGTTTAGTAATTGGTATTGTAGAATTGTAAATTATGATTCCGCCGAAAAAAATGTAAATCTGTACTTTAGGAATACGTACGTATACATATTATATGTATTAACATATATTGAGCTTTGAGAAATTTTTCTCTGACCTGAGAAGACCCCAAAAAACTAATATCATTGTTTATGCATCGCTTACGCTTTGTTAATGTCGGATGAGACACATTCACAACTCGATCATGCTGTTTTAAAAGAAATTTATATCTAGACTCTCTATGTGTATGCACTATAAGTTCACATTATAAATCGATACGATATAACATAAGTATATTTCTACGATAATACGAAAAGATTATGGTAAAGATTATCGCGATGCATTTATATATATATTTCTTATAAGTCTCTCTAAAATTATATGTAATAGTATATAATGTGTGGATAGAGGAGAGTATCTTATTGTTTCTTCTTTCGATTTATTTCTACTGTTAAATTAATCTGGTAAAAGCTTTGAATCAGGATTCGAAAAGATTACATTTCTCCGTAACAGAATTTACCTGATCGCATACAGTTTATACCGCACTGCTACCTCACAATTCTTTACATGAATAATATTACAAAAATCTGTACATATAATTGACACAATGAATATTATGTAAAGCCAAGCATTGATAAAAATTTGTTATTTAATCGAATTTATATTTAACAGGCTAAATAAGAGCCAAACACGTGTGATACCAAGTAATTAAAATTAATTTCAAATTTAAATTTCATATCGAAATTTATTTTAATTACTTGGTATTATGCTAAAAAATGTGTGCTCTATGCAAAACAAATCAGTTTCAGTAAAAAATTAATTTTTATTGAAATTGCCTCACTACTATCCGCGTTTGGTTCTTATTAGTTCGTTGAAATTTATATTTTAAATTGTAGAAACCCTACTAATTTCTTAGTTGTTAAAATAAATTAGTTGAATAGTTGTAAGAAATTAATTTGTAACTTGATCATGTGGCTGGGCTCACAAATGTTAAGATGTTTCTTTAAAATTAAAAAAAATTTTAAATATTCAAAATTAATATTTATAAATAATTAAGTGTTCAATGTGTTTATTATATCAATATTTTTTAGTGTTCAATTCTTTATATTAATATTATTTTTTGTATAAATATATATGCGTAATATAATATTTTGCTTTATTTTCTAAATAATCTGACAATTATTTATACAAAATATTTGTTATCTTTGTTATTTATAAATAATATGTAATTTTATTTCTCTTTGTTAACGGAGAAAAAATATATCGAGCCTAACAGCGATATGAAACAAGAATAAAAATTGTTGAACTTATTGCTGTATTTTGTATATTTTATGCTGTGAATGAATATAAATCATTAGATTATAGAAATGCTAATAATTTAATTAATTAATATTGTTCACGTTTTAATATTCTACGGACCAAAATATAAGTAGTTATACCGATACTTTATACCGTCATCATGTACCCTGTTGGTTGTATCTTTTTAGATTCATAATCCTATGCAATCTGCAATACTTATTTGTTTGTAATATTTATTCAAATGTTATTTATTGAATTTTTATTAAAGTACACATCAAAAGTGAAAATAGAGATTATAATTGAAAAATAGTGCAAACTCCATTATGTAAGAAAGAATTGTGTTATGTTATATAGTTTTTGCATACAAAAGTATAATTTTAAATTATAAATATTTATAGAGAGATTTATTAATTTATAATTGCTTTTTTAAATATTATTACAACATATGGAAAAAAAATAAAAAGGAACTTTTATTTTACCCGCAGTAAATTATATAGTGTTGTATTTTAAATATTTCTTCTGAAATTAGAAACTTAAAACCGAAAAATAAATGATTTTTCTATATTAACAAAAATATGAATTTTGTAGTGATATAGTTTACGATAAAATTATATAAAATTTGACTCTATTTCTATACTATTTCTCTTATCGATTGTTTAAGCAAATATATTTGTATACAATTTACATGTAGAATAACTATATGTAAATTAACAAATATTTATTTTCTGTATAATTCAATATTTCAAATTTATCAATTTTTAATCTTAATATTTTGCAAATTTATTATATAAAAAAATTAACTTCATATCTTTTCCATAAGTTCCAATTGCAGTTCCACAAGAATAAAAACTTTGCCATCTATACTTATAAGGCACCTTACATACAAGTATATGCACTTAAAACTATGTAGATATTATTAGACGCAAAATAATAAATATATGCTATGACAATGAGGGTAATGATGGAGGAAACACGGAAATCATATTTAGACACTATAAGATCTTTAATATTCTACATTCATTTAAATGTTACACAAGTAAGAAAATATAATTATTTAAGCATCATAGTATATATATCAATATATAATTACATAGCATATAATTATTTTTTACATAGTTATCATTTATTTATTTATAAGAATATTTTATTAAGATGACTTTTATTCTGACTTCTTTGATTTCTATATATATTTCTATAATAATTTCTCTATGTATATATATTTTTTCGAAATAGATATATATATATATATATATATATATATATATATATATATTTGTAAAATTGCAAATAATTTTCATAATTTATGATTTTATCGTGATGTCTTACTACCATGAATATAATTGCAAGTTTCGAGATAAGGTAAAAAGAGTTGTGATATTATTAAATATCAGTGTAATACTAACATAAATGCGCGCGTGACTATTTTTGCAATATTTAAGATTAAAATGATAAAAAAATACAAACAGAATTAAATAAGTAATAGTAAACTAAATTCTCAAGTCGTAAAAATAGTTTCGTAAAATAGATAATATATATATGATAAACAATATTATTCATATATATCTACATATATATAAATTACGCGAAAGAAAATATATATAAAAATTATGTACGCCACTGCAACATCCATTTATGATTAATGAAATTAACATATGACATCTATAATTTAATGTGTGCATAATTTCCGAAATGACATAAAACCAGCGATATGTAATGACACACAATACATGTTATGTACATTAAATAAAGCTGATTTTTAATTCTAAATAAAATTCATTAATTGTTAAATTGTATCAATAATTTAAACATCTGAAATCTGAACTGCCAAATAGAGAGGCACAATAGATTTTATCTGCATGTTGCAGGCAAAGCTTTGTTTGAGGACCACCCTCCACCTGATTATTATTTATTATCACCAATTTATTTGATTTAATTTATTATTTGTAATGTATATTATCATTAAATATAAAATTGTCAACTAAAATAAATTGTTATTCTTATTCCCCACTATATTATTCTTTTTATATAATATTGATATAATTTTTAAGACAGCGTAAGAGATAACTTGATATAAAGTAATATTATACTGTTATGACTTGTTTTTATATAAATAGGATTTTATCTTTAAAATAATTATTTGCTTAATTTAAAAAAAATACATGTTGATTTATTTTAAGTTATAAAAACTTAGAATAGCCTTTGTATAAAAACCACATATCCATATAATTACTTAACTATTATTTTATATCCGCATATATTATTTTTGTACTTGTGTACGTGTGCTTGTAAAAAATTATATATATTTGCACATAAAATTATAAAATTATTTTATTAATAAGCATACATAGCCCTATTTATTCATGTTTGACTCTGCACAGTGCAATGTATGATTTTTGGGTAGACAAATCGTGCCACCCTACTGGACCCCTATCACAATCAGCGCAAGCTAGGTACTTGACATTATCTACTGTGTGTGACACACCAATATTTTCAAAAGTAAACATATTTTCCACTAACCAATAATTCAAAATAACTTCAGACTCATTATCTTTATCATCTCCTTTGCTATGTATATAAGGTAATGCAAACTGCAAAAAAATGTCATGTTGTTATTAATGTAATTGCTTAATTTTCTATTTATGATAGATTCTTATATGTGTGTGGATGTTTTGTACATATATAAAATATATAAATTTAAATTTATACATTATCATATTGTATACAAGAATCAATACCAGTTTTAGAGTAGAAATGATCAGTAAAGTGTAAAACAACATAATATATCAAAAATGTTTTTAATTAAGAACAATAGAACAATATAAATGCACTGATGTAATATTATGTGAAAGAAATAAACAATAAAGATTATTTTAATATTAACATATTATTATGTACAAGACAAACACAATATAAACTAACCTCCATATTTATTAACCTAGCTGTTCCAGCATTAAGCATTTTTGAAGGGCAAAATGTGCAATAAATTTTGCTTTTGTTTTTGCCTTCTGCATCTTTTTTCGTATCAATAATATTCGCTGACATTGTTCAAAATAAACCTTGAACTTTCTTTTTCTTCTACGATTTAGATCGGCGTTTACGTATGCCTGTGATCTCAACTTCACTACGCTTTATATACATAACCACGTGATCGAAAATGTGTGACAAGATATGTAAATGAATCAACATTCCGTCTTGCGCATGCGTCGAAACAGAATGAGAACCCATTCAGATAAATTGAAAAATTATTGCAAAATAATCGAAAAGTCAACGATTTCAGAATAGAGGAATTCGATTGTAAAAAAATATTGATAATATTTTTATGATAGTATATAACATTTTCTGCTTAGATGAAATAAAATACTAATAACATATTCGTCAGGAGAATATAAATATACACAAAAATACAGTATCACAATTACCACACGTAATAAACATTTTCAATGATAATAAAAAATTCGTGAAATATCTTTGCAATTTTAAATTGTAACTTTTGCTTTAATTAAAAACAAGTTACAATCGATCTACAAAATCTACATGAATGAATAGATTACAAAACATTAAAAAATAAAATTGTGCATTATAATAAAAAATTATTTATAATTATAACATTATTTTTACAATTCATAACTATAAATACAATTAATAATAATTAGTCTGTTCTTTAAATAAATTTCTAAAATAAATCAGATTAAATTTTTAGCTTCTTTTATATTTTATCTTAATTTATTGTTTTGTAATCCATTCAATTTGAGATGAACGAAACTATCTACAATCTATGCAGTTTAAAATCTACAAAATCTAAATCTATATATCTAATTTTTACGAAATCGTCACCTCAAAATAACATAAAAGTTCACTCACCGATCGATGATACAGCGGAGTTGACTGCATCGAAGCTACGTTAATCTGTAACACACAAATATAGAATTCAAATTAGAGTAGTGCAAAATAATTCATATTTTGATCTAAAAATAATCATTGTACCCATTGAATTTTATAGTTAACGCGTACAAGAATCAACAGAAAAATAAATAATAAAATAACTTTGAAACTTTTTGTGAAGACTATTTTTCTAATACAAATTTTTATATAAAAACTTTTATATAAATTTTATATATCAAACGTATTTTTTTCTAATTCTTTCTTGCTTAAATCATTTAAATACAAGAATAAAATGATCAAATACAAGCTTTATAACAAGTATTTTACACATAATAAATTTATACCCCAAGGTTGCTCCGCTGGTGCTCACTGCCTCCTAGGCCTGTTCCTCCTCTCAGCCTGCTCAGGATTGTCATCATCAAAGTCCTTTGATTCACCCGCACGATATCTTAAAGTTCAACTTAATAAACGACACTCCCGCACTAAAACGCCTGACGACTTTGGACGACACTCATGTACGACGAACACCGCGAATACACTACCGATCGTCGCGTATTTCGATAACATACGATTAATCCATGTACTTCTTCTTGCTAACAATTTCCGACTAGACTTCAGTTTGCGAGAATTTAGAAGACAATGTATGATGTTGATCGAAATATCATTGACAATATGGCGGCGGGATTGTTGTCGTTGTCGACTTGTGATTTTTACAAGAATTACGAATCTAATTCATCGCGTACCGATGATGCGAAAATACGACCGGAAACGTGCAATAGCCCACTTAGAATACGGTCGACAACGCCGAAAAACTCCGGAAAATTTCGCATCGAAAACGCCAGTAATTCCCGCGATCCGTCCTCGTAAATTTGCGCGCGTAAACTTTCGGCGGCTCGAGTCGGAGGAGTTGTGACGTGAGGAACAAAGTGAAGTTGAGCGAGTTCGGGGCCAACGAGGTTAATCCACAGCTATCTATATAATATGATCTAGATGTCTGTGGGTTAAGTTCGCGCGTGCGATCGCGATCACGATGTGGGTACACGCGGCGCGATCGGATTATACGATAATTAATATAGAGATACTAATTAATTGCACTCACAGCCGTACTTCTGTGGACCGGCGACGAACCCGCGAATGTTGAACGCGAACAATACAAAAGTGCACCAGAGGGCAGCATTCTCCTGGATTGTGTTCCTAAATATATTCACCAATGCGCAGAATTCGACCAATCAGAGAACGAGGCTCTCTTTGTCCTGATTGGTCAATCAAGCGTTTCCCTATAGGTGAAAATATTTCCGAACGCAATCTAGAACTATATACTTTTTGTCAACCTCTCTAAATTTTTATTTTACATGACAGCGTTATTCAAATGATGCCGTTTATAAGCCGTAGAAGTAGATTCAAGATATATTTTTGAATTATAATGTCGAAGAATTATTGAAATGAAAAAGGACGCGGAGGTCTAAGGATAAAAATAAGATTTCCACTTAAAAAATTTTGCTCTTCTTGAAATTCTTAATACTGAAACTGTCAAGTGAATAAATATGGAGGTTAGTATTTTGTGTATATGGAAGATTAGAGTAGTACACATTTCAATATTGAAACAATTATACGACTTCTAATTAATTCACGTTTGAAATATTATTACAGTTTTTATATATGTTAAATAAGTTTCTTTATGCATTACTTACTACATCTAAATTGTAATTGATTTTTTCTCTTTTAATGGACATTATTTGGACATTTTGTTTTAATATGTATAATATTTTAATTGTATTTGATAAAATATATTTATATAATATTTTAATTGTATCTGATAAAATATGAATCAATGTTATAGAAAAAGGGGAGGAAGACCAAAGTTGATAGGAAAGGGACTGTGCACAAAACTACCAAAACTTCATTGATAAAATCTAAACAAAGAGACAAAGATGTAAAAAATGCTTTTGAATCAACATTAGAGGAAGATTCAAACAATATTTTGCACACACCCACAAAATCTCCACTAAAGAATGGGTCTTTAACATCATCTATGAAAATAAGGACTAAAGCCTTGACTACACCAGTTATGCCATTACAAGAAGTAATATTAGAGAAAGATTCAAACAGTATTTTGTACACACCTACAAAATCTCATCGTCCATCATTAAAGAATGGGTCTTTAACACCATCTATGAAAGTAAGGACTAAAGCCTTGACTAAACCAGTTACGCCATTACAAGAAGCAAGAATGAGATTACATGTCAGTACAGTGCCTAAGTCATTGCCTTGCAGAGAAGAACAATTCAATGATATTTATACATTTTTAGAAAGTAAATTGCAGGATAATAGTGGAGGGTAAATTTGATTTATAAATATAATTTAATAATTCAATTTTATTTACACAGTTTATTCATTTACTAAAATATGCATAAATATTAATTGCAGATGTATCTATATAAGTGGTGTCCCAGGTACAGGCAAAACTGCTACTGTAAATGAAATTGTAAAATGTTTAAAGAGATCAGTGGAAAAGCGTAAATTGGACTATTTTGAGTTTGTTGAAATTAATGGTATGAAATTATCTGATCCCAGACAAGCCTATGTTCAAATTCTAAAACAGTTATCTGGAAAAGTTTTAGCATGGGAACAAGCATATAATGCATTAGAAAAGCGATTCAATAGCAATGTTAAAAGACCAATGACATTGTTACTCGTAGATGAGGTATTTACACATATACGTTTTTATTTATTATTTGATTTTTTAGATTTGCATTGGCACATTTTTATATTATTGTTTTTATTGTTTATTTTATTGCATTAATTTTTTTTTATTTGTGTTTTACAGCTTGATTTATTATGTACAAAACGACAAGATGTGATATATAATTTGTTAGATTGGCCTGCTAAAAACTGTGCTCGATTAATAGTCATTACTATTGCAAATACTATGGATCTCCCAGAAAGAGTTTTAATGGGTAGAGTCACATCACGATTAGGTCTTACCCGAGTAACTTTCCAACCATATAATTATAAACAATTGCAAGAGATAGTATTGGCTAGACTTAAAGATATGAATATTTTCAAAAATGAAGCTTTACAGTTAATTGCACGGTGAGCATTATATTTCGTTTTAGATGTTTTTATTTATAAATATTTTATTTATGTACATTTTATATATATATATATATATATTTTTTGTTTATATACATTTTATGTGTGTTATACTTGCATGCACGTGTGTGCACATTTTTTAAATGTATTGTATAACATTGTTATACAGAATATTTTAAATATTTTGGATCAAATCATTATCATATTTTACAAATTATGCTAATTTTTTTAGTAATGTAAAGTTAATGTAAAATCACTTAATCAATGATATGATAATGAATTAATGATATCAATAAAAACAAAGTATAATGAATATGATAAATCCAAATTATTATAATTATATTACTATACACTAATAAATTAAATATATCTGTATGATATATATATAATATATATATATAAATGAATAGTTATATATAATATGAGGTTTTCTATTTTTTATAAAAAAATATTTTAAAAAGCGGTAAATATTTATAGATCACTTATTTATTACAGAGTTATTAAGCTAGTAAAATTGATAAAGTTTGATTAAACATTTTAAGAATCGTTATACAATATCTTTATACAATTTATTTTTTATATTTAGAAAGTGTCTGCGGTATCGGGTGATGCTCGTCGTGCTTTGGATATTTGTCGTCGTGCAGCAGAAATTACCGAAATACGCAACGGTGATACAGTAACAATACATGATGTAAATGAAGCTTTGTCAGAGATGATAACAAATCAAAAGTTCAAGCAATAAGACATTGTTCGAAATTTGAACAGATATTCTTGCAAGCCGTATGTTCAGAAGTTACACGAACTGGTGTTGAAGAAGTTAGTGTCATAAATGTTTACAGACAGTTTGAATTTTATGTTCCTTTGATGGTATGTATACATATAGATAATTAATATAAAAATGCAATATAAAAAATCTTATATTTTAATGATTGTTTTTTTTTCTTTTTTGTAGGCTATGAAACACCCAATATTACTCAAACACTTGATATTTGTACAAAACTGGGTGACTACAGATTGTTAATATATGAATATTCTGGTAGCAACATTCATCAAAAGATTCTATTAAATGTATCAAAAGATGATATACATTATGCATTACAAAAAGTTGATCTTGATTAAGAATAAGATATAAATGAGTGTCTAATTTATTTTTTATAAAAGATTTTTGTGTATCTGTTTTATATATGAGTTACCATGTTACTTTATAATTAACAAATAGGTAGCTCAAATATCTCCCTGTAATATCATAATGTATGAAAGCAGAATAAAGTATAAATAAGTATAAATTTTAATAAATTTATTTATATCTATTTTATATATATATATATATATTATTTTTATATATATATATATATATATATATATATATATATGTAAAAAAATATCATGTCACGAAGAACATAGTAAACAAATATGTATGTATTCATACACATATCTTTATCTATATATATTGAACTATATTATACAACTAGGAAGCTAATCTATTATTGGAAAAATTACACAACTCAAGTTCATGGCTCAACCCTTCCACTCATCCATATAAATGTTCTGTGCATTTTTGGTCTGTATCTTACAATGTCATGTAAGTAAATATTCGTTTTCAAGTTTAAATAAATAAATATATTAAAAATGTGTAAAATATATATATTTATATGAATAAACTTATTAAAATATATATATTTATATGTATAAATTTAGTAATGAATGATCATAATATCGAAGAAAATATTTTCTCATTATATAATGCACAAAAGTGGAAAGAAATCACTGCTCTATCTTGCATAAATGACGTGAAGATCTGTAGACTATCATGGGTATTGCCTGATATAGATGATTTATATTGGATAAATGAGATTGTAAGAAAGTATAATTATTTGGAATTGCAAGCATCGGTTGTGGTTGTGGATTACTAGAATGGTTATTGCAAAAATATTCAGGTAAGTTTTTAAAATGAAGCAATATTAATATATATTTTAACAATATTTTAATTTATTTTTATAACTTATTTTAAGGATTAGACGTAATGGGTATAGAATTGGATAGTTCCTGGTGGAATAGCAAATATTCTCCACCACAATTCTTGAAAAATATATTTTTGTTGAAAAGACGTCAGTGATTTTCCAAGTACCAAAACGATATGCTATGTTATTTTGTTACTTTAATAATAGTACTGCATTCTGCAATTATATAGAAAATTACAAAGGCAATTTAATTCTCGTTATTGGACCTGTGCAAGGGAATGGGAATGATTGTACAACAGATCCACTACCATTTGATAAAAAATTTGAAGAATACAACTGGAAATTAATAAATAAGAAAAAACTTGTGCATTCAAACAATTATATTACTGCATACACTAAACAATCCAGACCATAAAATAAGAAAAATATAGGTACTAAAAATTACAAAATCCAATTCAATAGCACTCTTTCTAATTATGCAAGAAATAATCAAAAAAATTTTATGAGGAAATATTACTTGTTTAAAGCAAAATACACAAAAATTGCGAAATTACATTTTTGAGGATTAACAAAATAGGAAAATTTTGATGTGAGAACGTTTATACAAAATAATTAGTCATTGTATTTTATAGTGATGAACAATAAACGAATTATACAAAAAATTAATAAAAAGACTGAGTGTGTAATTTAATAACATTATCAAGTAAAAATTAAAGGTTAGCAGGAGAGCCAAACAAATATATCAACCGTGCCAACAACTTAACTAACCTTACAACATGATTGCATTCATAGATTTTCATTAAAATTAATACGAAATACAAGAAAGAGAATATTTATTCGGTATGCATTTATTTTACAATAAATTTTGCGATGGAATACATGCGACATTCAGTATGCATATTATTGTAACATCTCGATATAGGTATAAGCAACGATGCGACATATACTCCGTATACTCATTAATAATTTTCGAGAAGCGATTGTTAGAACTATTACAAAATTATTCTCTTTGAAAAGTGATTAGTGGGTATCATTTCGCACAATTAAACGTATACAATTTAATTTGTACAATTGAATAACTCATCAGTGTATCGAGATGACAATTTTATTTCAAGTTTTATTTCGCGCGCGTGAAGTAGATATGAAAATATAGATCGTAAATCGATTTATATCGATAATATCGAGAGCGGGAATATAAAGTAAAACGTTTGCTTGACCAATCAGGACAAAGAGAGCCTCGTTCTCTGATTGGTCGAATTCTGCGCATTGGTGAATATTTAGGAACACAATCCAGGAGAATGCTGCCCTCTGGTACACTTTTGCATTGTTCGCGGTTAAAATTCGCGGGTTCGTCGGCGGTCCACAGAAGTACGGCTGTGAGTGCAATTAATTAGTATCTCTATATTAATTATCGTATAATCCGATCGCGCCGCGTGTACCCACATCGTGATCGCGATCGCACGCGCGAACTTAACCCACAGACATCTAGATCATATATAGATATTATGTAGATAGCTGTGGATTAACCTCGTCGGCCCCGAACTCGCTCAACTTCACTTCGTTCCTCACTTCACAACTCCTCCGACTCGAGCCGCCGAAAGTTTACGCGCGCAAATTTACGAGGACGGATCGCGGGAATTACTGGCGTTTTCTACGCGAAAATTTCCGGAGTTTTTCGGCATTGTCAACCGTATTCTAAGTGGGCTATTGCGCGTTTCCGTCGTATTTTCGCATCATCGGTACGCGATGAATTAGATTCGTAATTCTTCTAAAAATCACAAGTCGACAACGACAACAATCCCGCTGCCATATTGTCAATGATATTTCGATCAACATCATACATTGTCTTCTAAATTCTTGCAAACTGAAGTCTAGTCGGAAATTGTTAGCAAGAAGAAGTACATGGATTAATCGTATGTTATCGAAATACGCGACGATCGGTAGTGTATTCGCGGTGTTCGTCGTACATGAGTGTCGTCCAAAGTCGTCGGGCGTTTTAGTGCGGGAGTGTCGTTTATTAAGTTGAACTTTAAAGTATCGTGCGGGTGAATCAAAGGACTTTGATGATTGACAATCCTGAGCAGGCTGAGAGGAAGAACAGCCTAGGCAGGCAGTGAGCACCAGCGGAGCAACCTTGGGGTAAAAATTTATTATGTGTAAAATACTTGTTATAACCCATACAGCACCGATAGATTGCAAAAATATTACAACAATTTTCACCGCAATATTGCAATATTGCAAATTCACTGCAAAATGTTGCTACATCATTGCTGTTGAATTGTAGCAATGTTAAAATGTCCGCTTTTTGGAAGATTGCAACAAAATATTACAACAATATTGCAATGTTATGAATTTGCAATAATGCATTGTTATTGCAACCATAAACTAATGTTGCATATACAGGTATATAAATGTAAATAAATCATTAATGAAAATACGTTGTAGTTAATTTATATATATTACAATATATAAATTATAGAATTTGGATTACATGCAATATTTCCGAAATATTAATGTCATGTTGCTACAAGTGTGCTGGAATTTTGTGCACCTATATCTCTGCAATGTCTTTATAATGTTGCATTGCAACTTGCAACATTGCAACGTTGCTGCAATATAATTGCAATAATCTGTGCTGTATGGGAAAGCATGTATTTGATCATTTTATTTTTGTATTCAAATGAGTTAAGCAAGAAAGAATTAGAAAAAAATACGTTTGATATATAAAATTTATATAAAAGTTTTTATATAAAAATTTATATTAGAAAAATAGTCTTTACAAAAAGTTTTAAAGTTATTTTATTATTTAATTTTCTGTTGATTCTTGTACGCGTTAACTATAAAATTCAATGGGTACAATGATTATTTTTAGATCAAAATATGAATTATTTTGCACTACTCTAATTTGAATTCTATACTTGTGTGTTACAGATTAACGTAGCTTCGATGCAGTCAACTCCGCTGTATCATCGATCGGTGAGTGAACTTTTATGTTATTTTGAGGTGACGATTTCGTAAAAATTAGATAGATTTAGATTTTGTAGATTTTAAACTGCATAGATTGTAGATAGTTTTGTTCATCTCAAATTGAATGGATTACAAAACAATAAATTAAGATAAAAATAAATAAAAGCTATAAATTTAATCTAATTTATTTTAGGAATTTATTCAAAGAACATACTAATTAATATTAATTGTATTTATTTATGGTTATGAATTGAAAAATATATTTACAATTATAAATAATTTTTTATTATAATGCACAATTTTATTTTTAATGTTTTGTAATCTATTCATTCATGTAGATTTTGTAGATCGATTGTAACTTGTTTTTAATTAAAGCAAAAGTTACATTTTAAAATTGCAAAGATATTTCACGGATTTTTTATTATAATTATTTGAAATGTTAGATAATTGTGGTACTGTGTTTTTCTGTATGTTTATGTTCTTCTGTGGAATGTTTTATATTTTATTTCATCTAATATATATAGAGAAAGTATTATACACAATATTAATATTTTTTACAATTGAATTTCTCTATTCTGAAATCTTTGACTTCTACTATTTTGCAATGGTTTTTTGATTTAATTGAATGGATTTTTATTCTGTCTTGGCGCATACGCAAGATGGAATGTAGTTGATTAATTTCCATATTTTGTCACATTTTCGATCAGGTGATAATATATATAAAGCGTAGTGGAGTTATAAGATCATAGACAAACATAAATTTAGAATAACTATTTAAAAGATATATATAATTATTATATTTTTTTTATATTTCTCACAATATAAATATTTAATGCTATTTGTATATGTCTAATTATATGCAGTTGTAATTGGAAATATCTAATTATAAGTAATAAGATATAAAACAATTTATAGGTTTCTCACGTCGTTTTAATTATAAAAAGCGATAAATTATATTACAAGTATATTATCTGAGATTTTTCAATGGTATTCTAAATATCTTCAAACATTTTCAAATATTTTTCCATTTTTATAACATAATATCTTATCAATATCACGTATCGCATATTATAATGACAATAATAATAGTAATATATCACAATTGCCCTTGTTCTACAATTTTTAGAACTTTTTGCCTATTAAATGTGCCAAAAGTCGCAAATATATGATAAGTTCAAAATTTAATATTATATATACATATTTGTATTTTTATATGTAATTAATTTATTTAATTTAATAATATTTAAAAATTTGAAATACATTTTTTTTATTTCCATTATTATTTAATTAAAAATAGGTATCGCGACTTATGGAACATCTATTATAATAATTTAAATAAATACAAATATGAAGTAACTTATACATAAATAACCTAGAATTTACAATTTTCTAATATTTTTTTAAGCAATAAATAATTTAAAATGAAATATATATTAAATTATTATTAACTAGAACTTAATATACATATAATAATAATATTTCTTCATTAAATTTGTTCAAAAAACTTTCTTTTTCAGAAAGATTCAATATATTGTGTAATAATGAGATTAACCGACCAGCAGTTTAATCCATTACTTATTTTGGAAAATAATATCGCTGCTCCATAAATTCATTTGCATTTTATTAAATTGATGGATGATTTAATTTTTTATAATTTTAGCATTTGAGAATTTTTTCTTGATTTATAAAATTTGTTAATTTACTGTCGCAAAAAAAATTTTTCTAAACTTTTACACGTGCAATATATTGCTATTTTTATTTTGTTCGTGTTATAAACTACTACATTTTAAATAACATCATCACACTGTCTTACATAATCATATGATTGATTGTGTATAGTATAATTAACTAAATTTTTACAAGATATACGTATATTATTGTTTGAGAAAATTGAAGTCTAATCTTCTATTCTCTATGTTTTGCTGCTGTATCGTTAACTACTCAATTTTGTCCAAAAAAATTTTTTTTTTCAATTTTTATTTTATTGACATTAGGAAGAATTTGTTCCTTACGAATAATTACATCATTAAGACAATTAAAATTTTTAATAGATTACTTATAAACATTGGAGTTTAAGAAATTGCTTTTCAATTCGTCAACATTTTATCAACATTTTAAATCAACTCTCTTTTTCTTTGAGTTATCAGTATTATAATATTGTAATTTCTTGATTATTTCTTCAGCATTTTTCTTTCTTCAATTTTATCAAATTCTTTTCTAGAAATTCTCCATTTTTCTTTTAAAGACCATTTTCCTCAAAGATAAGTTGCTCTTCAAGATCTTGTCTGTATTTTTATTCAATTAAATTAATGCTATTTGCCTCGAAATATTTTGTTCTTCGAAAATTTTTGACTAATCGTCAAAATCTTGCCTTTAATTTTGTCAATTATGCATATTCTTTTCCCACCGTTTGTATTAAAACATCTTTCCCTTCTTTAGAAACAATTTTCTGACTATGATTTTTATTTTTTTTGTGAGGCAATTTAATTAGATTCCTCTCTAAATCTTTTTTTCTCAAAATCCATTTCTTGACAATTAGTCTTCACGATCTCTCTATTTATTGTTTCCGATATTTGTTGATGTTTCATGATTTCAATGGTTTTAGGATCGAAATCGAATATTTTGGTTTGAGCAATGCCTTCGCTTTAAGAATTGTGTAAAGTACGAATGTGTAATTTTGAATATTTAGATGTATTTCTCCAAGAATATTCATTCTCCACGCTATTGTTGCTGCTCGGGCAATCCAAAGGCGTGAAAGACAGTGAATGTTGTTTGATCAAGTGACAATTGCACCAATATTGTTCCCCAATTAAATGATCCTTATCGATTAAGACATCTGTAAGGCATTCTGTGACTTAGACATTTTTCATATTTGATTAGGGATTCATATTTGTATAATCAGTTAATATTATTTGAATTCTATTAAATTAAACTTTATCGTGATGAAAAAAGGCTTTTTACATAATTAGAAAAGCTGTTGAGAAAATTGGAAAGTTTTTGAAATTCGACAGTTAAAAAAAGAATAGAAGATAAAATACAACTTTTAGAATAAACTTTATGTTACATTTTTTGCATTATATTGCTCTTTTTTCATTTTTTACATTTAAAGTATATAATTGAAAGAGCGTTTTTTTCGCACATACAAAGCTTCTCGAATCAGAAAACGTAAAAAACATAGGACATAAAATGACAATTTAACTTCTATTTATATGTACATGGTCTACGTATTAAAAATTGAGATTAAAAATTGTAATATTCAAAAATTATATAATTATACTATGATTGCGATTTTTAAGATTGTCTCGTGGCATTTTGTGCGTTACATTCTTTTGTTCAATTTCAATTTATAATAGTTTATATTATATATGTATATAGAAAGATATCGCAACACATTAATACTTATTAAAACATTTCATTTTTTCGTTCTCACCTTGTGTATTGGGTAAGGAATACTAGCTGAATTAAAAATCACATCTAATCGAATTCTCCTTTTCACTATCATTTTTACTATTATTATTATATATATTAATAGTATTCTTTTTTGTTTAACTTGTATTATTATTTATTTTTTTATTATAAATTATTTCTAATAAAGCTTATTTGTCAAATATCACGCATGTTTCGCAATCTCAATTTTTAATGCATAGACTATTATAAGATTTATAGACAATCACAACCAAGCTATATCAAGCAAATATTCAAAAAAATATAAATAATTGGTTTTTCCTATCTTAAAAATGGAATGTAAATTACAATTTAAATACCTATATGTTGTCAATATATTTATTTTGCTTTATTTTTTTGTCTTTTAGTTAGTTATTTAACATCGAAATTGTGCTACTTATTCCTTCAGAATTCGCACTCTAAGACACAGTTCAATTTTTCAAACATATCAAGATCGTCAAATTGATTTTCACTAAATTTCTTTCCATGTTTAACGTATAATCGAAACACAGCTTATTTTTGCAGAATTTTTGCAAATTACTACAAGAATGAATTATTCGTTTTATTGTGAAAAAATGTTGTCTCTTCATCACTTTTTTCTTTATTGTCATTTTTCTATTCCTTTTTATTTTTATTTTATTTTAACTTTTTTCATCGCTCTTCTTGCCTAGAGTCTAGACAAAACATTATACTCCAGGACAGTCATCAATAGATGGAATGTCGATATGCAATTTAGACGGCTTTTGAGAAGCGTGACCTTGATTGACGAGGAAGTCTGTACCATCGGCTTGAAGGAGCGTGTTGAACACGACAGGAGCACTCCTTGGCTCGCTAGGCACTCTCTTTAGATCTCCATCTGTGATATAGTCGGTACCAGACAATCAGACAACAAACTACGTGTAAAACTGAAGCGTTTGACTTAGCAAGCTAGGGATTCATTTGCTTGGGATGCTATTAAGCTTTAAGCTTAAATCAACACAGCATACTTATATAAAAGTATTAATTTTCTTCTATATTGTCAGACTAATTATTAAATGTACACACAGAAATTAATTTTCATATTAATCAAACATATTGACTGAAAAATGTGATAAATTAGTTAATATAAATAAATAAACGCAGATAAGATTATTTATTTTGATGTCTAGACACTCACATATCTCGATAATTATAGTATTAAATCAGATTTGCATTGACATGAATTTTCTTGCGAAAACAGTTCTAAATTTTACTAAATTTTAATAAATATTAAATTTATTAATTATATTTATATTTTCTTCTAACTCATATCCTCATCATTCTTAACTTTCTATTTACAAAAAAAGTATAATTAAAAATTGTTTATGAAATTGAGATTTTTTGATATTTTATATTTAATAGGCTAATAGAGTTATAATTACAAGAAACATAAATATAGTAATATCAATGCACACGAAAAATTTGACATTTAGCATTATTCTAGGCACATTTGTGTTTAGTCAGTAAACCACAACAAGCACAATTTATGGATAGTTACATGAAAAACAATTTACGTAAATGCTTACCAGTTCCGTGACGAAAGTCATCCTGTACTTTGTAGAACTCTGCGAGTTCTTTGCCCGAGCAAAGCGGAGTATCAACTTGAGTAGTACTATTAAATAGCGAATAATCTACTTCATAGCCTTGCCGTTCTTTCGAATAGCTCACCATGGGGTCGAAACGATGACCCCATAAAATTTCCTGGGGAAGATAACTTGATCTGGCCTGGGTAGTTTGTCCAGTAGATTCGATAGTACCTTCTAAGATTAGGACAACCTCGAAACGTTCGATTAACATATTCTCGGCGGACATATTATAGAAGGGCGAAGACTCATTAATTCGATGGATTATGATGGCTGGCCAGATGAAAAATAGATCGCCGTTTTCACCATCAGTGCCTACCGTCAGTTCTTGCTGATGTTGAGACAGAATTTCGCCTTCTTTAGTTGTTCTACCGCGAATCAATTGAGCGCGAACGCTCGCACCAATTATGTGACTCTTCCGCATATCGCCCACTCGAAACATGAGACAAAGTTCGCCATCCCGTTGACAGATTACGGCATTTCGCGAGAACAGTAGAGTTTGGGTACGTTGCTTCGGTCTTGTCATCTTGGCAAATACAATGCCTACCTGCAATTATTCCAATTTTATAATTTAATTTATTTTACACACACACTTAATATATTCTTCGAAAACTACTTACCATGAAAGCTTGGATCATAACGCCAGAAATGCTTTGTATGCACATCACAAATATAGCCTCGGGGCACTCTTCGGTGGTGGACCGACTGCCGTATCCAATGGTGTGTTGGGTCTCGATACTAAAGAGAAAGCAGCTGGTGAAGCTAAAGATGTTGTAAACGCATGGTGTCCAGTTGTTTTCCACTTGGAAGGGTGGCAAGTGACTCTCTTCGAAATCACCGTGGGTAAAAGCGATTAGCCACCAAATTACAGCAAATCCTAACCAGGAAAGAAGGAAGCTCAGGATGAAGCACAGTAGCGTCCAACGCCATTGTGTATCTACTAAGGTAGTGAAGATGTCTTGCAAGAAGCGTAGAGATCGTCGGGAGATGCGCGACTGCAACACGTTGCAATCGCCATTCTTCAGGACGGCACGACGACGTAGCTTCCGCGTCGGTCCAGCCCGGTATCGACTCCTGAAATACAGATTCGTCCTTATGATTCGTATGAGAGATTCAAATCAGATATTTTATTCTTTTTTTTCTCTTTTTCTCTGTCCTTCTCGCTCCTTCCCTCTTCTCTATTTCTTATTTATTTTTTAACTTATTTATTTTTATTCAAATTATATTATATAATTTTCGTTCTCTCATATCTATTGTTTTATTAGACAATAAATAAATAGGTATATCTATTTACAAAACTGGACAAGAAATTTAACTACACCGGAATTTTTAATAACATGCGGTAAACATAATAACGATTGTTTTCACTTTACTCCGAAAATGTGAAATTTAGGACCGTAATGGTCGTTTCATCCACATGTTATTTTCTCGTATAGCCAAGAGATCGAGATAATGTACCCATGAATACATGTTGTTACAAGGTTGCTGCTACTCCACTCATTCTACTTATCTATGTTTAATATGTATGAAAGGGACGCGCTTTTATGCGCTATTATGAAAAAAATTATTAAAATTGAAAAAATAATAAAAGAACAATTTTAAGCATACTATTATGTATAAAGATTAATATTTTATATTTTAATTAATTACAAAGAAAGAGAGAGAGAGAGAGAGAGAGAGAGAGAGAGAAAATGATGATAGTGTTTTTATAAAATTTTTAGAAAAAATATTGATTACAAAGTATCATATATGTTTTCTTTTCGAAATCAAAAATTTTTAAAGAAAATTAAGAAAAATTTATGAAGAAATATATATAATATATTTTCATGTAATTTAATCTAAAATTATCGAAAATTCATATTTGATTGCATATCTTTGTAACGTAATATATTTCGTAAGATATGTTAGAAATCGAGTTCTAAAATGCAAAACGTAAAACCAATGCGCAATTGTCGCCAAGGTTGTGGCTTTCGATATGTAGATCACTGTTATGTTACATGTGTAACGCAATAGGAAGATAGGATTTGAATAACAAATCTTTCTCAAACACGTTATAAAGTTTTTGATGCATTTAAGTAAACGATATAACAATTGATAAATTATTAAACATTACATACAAAATTATTATATATAATATATATAATATTACACACACACACACAGTATATAATACAAAAATAAAGATAATTTTGAAAATTTAAAATCTTTATTTTTAGAAATAAATAACTATATGGGTATTTTTTTTTACATGTATCAGTTCTTCTAGTCATTGTGCATATAAAATTATTATAGAATTAATGTAAAATTTGTTAAAAAATTAATAATTTTTATAAAATTTTTTATATGATTTATTTAATATAAAATTATATGGCATAAAATATATATATATATATATCATGTATGTTATCATACTTATCTACATATATACATGATAAAGAAAGTAAGTGACATTTATAACATAACAAAATTTTATTTAAAAATAAAAACTAAATATCTATTGAAAATTTTTAAAAACTAAATTTGTAATAAATATTAAACAAATATTTAATAATTTGTATATGGAATAAAAATATAAAAATTGTAATCATAAAGTTGAAGCCTGTTTACTCTGTGTAAAATGCTTACTCATCATATACACAACAGTTAAATTAAATTTGCATATAATTTATTTAATAGAAACTAAGATTTACTTCAATCTTAACATACACTCACCACGGATCTCTGCGCATTGTTCGTCATTGTTCCCTTTGACATGACGAATCTAAAGAATTATCTTAAAATATCTTTGAACAAAAGATTGTTTTGTATTGTATAATTACTTATTCTCCATCAATGTATTTTATCCAACAACCACAACAATTATATATAGTTGCACCAATTATATTTCAACATATTATCGCATATATACTTGCGCGATAATATATTTTCACATTAAAATTGCATTAATATTTCGACATAGTGAATATATTATTTTTACATAGGAACATACGAGAGAATCACTTATGTGTGGATTAATATGAAACATCAAACAAATATATATTTGTATATTATATACGTAGTAATCATATATAATGGTTTTATCATATTTCCATATAAATAAGTTATTTTTACATAAAACATACAAATCAATGTAAACCAATGTTTTAGATTTTGATTTCTCGAATTAATTATATATGCATTATTATTAATCTTGATCAATTATATCCGAAGCAACACACTATATCCACCACATCCAAAGACTCGTTATTTGTTTGAGATATCACTGTCAGCAGTTCGATACTGTCGAGAAGACTCTCTCGGGAGCCTCGTCTCCCTTTGCTGACACAAAAAGGAAGTCGCCATTTTGAGTTTGAATGATAACCGTGAGCAGCTGTTATCTACCAATTTATTTATTACCACACGTTAATCAGTCGCCGAGTCAATGACGACATCCTTTGCACTTCCGCCGCCTCTGGGTCGATGATATCTTGAACAGCTGATTGTACTACATACTAGATCAGTAATGTCACATATGAATTTGAATACTTATTAAAATAAATTTTTGGAACAAGATTCATTTTTAAATGTCTACGCATTATAGCTGTTAATTATTCGAGAAACAATAATAATTTTATGTATTAATATTAATAATAATTTGTTAAATTTTATGCTAAAGTTACCGAGTAATTAACATATCATGCGCAAAGATCAAAGGATGAAGCATGCATGCCGGGTATGCCACGATATATATGCAAATTTATACACAACATCAGAAATGTCTCAACGTATAAATTTACACAAGTATCGGAGCATATATACACATATACATATATTCGATACGCAAGATTCATTTTTAATTATTCGCAAGTTATATGAGACTGTTGATTTTTCAAGCAATGAGTAATATTGAATTTTTATTTGTAATGTTACTTTTTAATAATTAATGAAAAATTTTACTTTAAATAACAAAATATATTTTTAAATAATAATTTCATTCTGTCTAATTTCATTACTGATCTCGTAAATACAAATCGCTTTTCATATTTTTATTTTCGAAATTCCCAAATTCTTTCTGAATTATTGAATTTCAAAATTAATATTTGTGTCATTGTTAATAAAGAAAATAATTACTATTGGATTTATCTAGAAATTATCTCTAGTAATATAAAAGTTAATAATATTTCACTAATTGTTTCAATATATTTAATCTTTTACTTTTAAATACTTAAAGTTTAAAATTTATAATTATTTTGATTATTTTTTAATTTTAAAATAAAAAAATATTAATATATTGATTTAAATTCTATATATGCTCTATTTAATAAAAATTGAATATATAATTTAAAAATATACATACACATATATATGTATTATATATATTACACACACAATTTTATACATATATATATATTGTAATTATATACACAGTAATTATATACACAGTGAGTCTGATAAAAGGTTTACCATGTTTTTCTCGAAAACGGTTAGAGATAGAAGACGTGCATTATCAAAACTGTAGAGAATAGGAAGGGACATATGTATATTTTAGTAACTAATAATCTTGGAAAATGTCCACTTCACAAATAATAACAATTTTTTTTTAATAAAAGGGGTATTTTGTAGTCACTCTACTGATAGTATTCAACGAGCTTAACAATGTTTGTATTAGAGTCTATCTTATCTTACGAAAATTCTTCTCTTCGAATACTTTTATATTAGAATTTATCTTATCTTTCGAAAATTCAACCATTTCCAGGATATCAACAACATAAATCAGAATGTTTTTATTATTACAGTAAATGTTCAAAATAATTATGCTAATTTAGACATATGCCTATAGTAATCGCGGAAAGCTTGTTTGTACTTCTTCTAACTTGCGGTTATTTCGCGAAAAATATTTTTCGCAAGAAAACATATGGTAGAAAGAATAAAAAATATTTGCGAAATAAATTTACAGGAGTTAGAAGCAAACTGTCTGCTATGCCTGTAGGCATGTCTGGATCAACATGGCGAAGATTTTGAAAATTCACTACTTCACTATTGTTAATAATAAAATAATTTGTTCCCAAATTTTCATTACAATTTTGATAATAGATGTTTTTTTTTATCTCTAATCGTTTGCGAGAAAAACATGGTGAATTTTTCATCAAACTTACCCTATATATATAATTATATATCATTGTTATAATTATGCGTATATAATTATAATAACTATATATGTATATAAATACTATAATTATTATATAATCATAACTACATTATTCATTAATAAGATATATTATTCATTTATCAAAAGATTGATCAAAAAAGATTCTTTCTCCATACATCTCGAAAGTTCTATTTATTTAAAATTCTTCTATTTATTTGGTTGTTAAATATTGTTGCTCAAAGATGGAAAAAAGAATTCATTTTATTAATTAATGAAGTTATTTAGAATTATCCGGCAATTTACGCGATAGATACGCGAAATTCCAGTAATTGTCTTAATATTTATTCTTTTACGAGTGATTTAGCGCACGAACCTTGAGTGATCTGTCATTAAGAATGATCTCTAAGCCGCTTATCAAGTATCACGAGACATTGATAACAGTTGGAGAATAAACAAATAACAGAGTAATTTCTGGAATATTTCTGCAAACTCTATGAGATCTTTTGTCAGCAAAACTAACATTATGTGATATTATTAAAAGACATTAATGTTAATCTCATATAACATTGGATATTTTTTGTATATGCATTTTTATGATATGAAAATAATATTCTACATATATGTAAAATAGATATCTTGGTGGTTAATCATTTACTATTGATGCAAATAGTTTTAACACTAGACAGATTTAAATCGCTGGAAAATAGCTGAATTTTTTTACATATTATTAAAACTTTTTATGATATATAAAAGATAGAAATAGTACAAAATCTATTTCATATTATTTAATATTAATAAATTCTATATTATATCTTTTAAATATCTATGTCGTGGAAATAAGAATAAAAGATATATTATTTATTTATCTATTTATAAGAACAACGGGCTTGCCTTGAAAATTTTGTCATGATAAAATTAGAGATTACGCGAAATTTAATTTTAGTTCTGTACGACTTATTTTTAGTTCTCATAAATCTTAGTAAATATGCATTTTTCCCCTTAAGATGCGCAAATATAATTTTGCGCGCTAACATATTTGAAGAACGTTTTCGAAACATTCGTTAATTTGCTGTATCATACATTTCTCAAGGCTGCATAACAACTTGAAGATTGCTTTGATCTGGATCATTTGCTTGTCCATATGACACTTTATCGCAATTTTCAATATTAAACAATATAAGATATATGTCTAAGTATTCGAATATTTATACATCTTAAGATAAATATTCGAAGTATTATTCAAGTAAAATGTAGACTTTATTTATAAATGTTCCCTTTACCTGTACTTGAATGAAGAACATGGGTTCTTTGTCATTTGTACTATCATTGGTGTCGTTGGCGTAGTTGGTAATATTAACTTTTGTTCATCTTCACAATCCGGCGATGGAAATTTGTCGCTCGTCTTTAACACGCTGCCATTCATTTCGTTCATCTTGACTCACTATATCATGCGATGCACACTGATATTCTTAATATTGAACAAATCCTTTAATAATAGAATAGTCCACTCATATGTCTCATCTATTTAAAGCATTTACATGTAAAATAAACACCTGATATATGAAATTTCTACATATATCCTTCTTACTTTTATGAATATTTTTTAATATTCCAATCTTCTCTCTTGATCATTATTTTTTATAAATCTTGTAAACCTCTAATTTAATAAAATAGAGGTTTCTTACACTTCTTTCTATTAAACTTCTTTGTTTCTGCACAAATATTTAGAATAGTTCACTTTTCTCGTTGAGTTTTTATATCAATTAAAGATTCAGATCTTTTAATTGACTTTCTAATCTAACAAAATTGCTGATAAATAGATATTTCAGCGTTTGTATATTTTTGTCAAATTCTTTTCATAAAAAGATTTGGGATTTTTTAAAGGACTTGTTTTACTTTCAATGAACAATTATGAATTTTCACTGGATTGAAAAATGTGTTCGTCCTCTTTTTCTTTTTTAACTTTACTTGTTATTTAACAATAAAATTCAAACTGATAATTACATCTTCAATATTACTACAGGCATTTTTTTCTGTAAATTTATAAATCTCTCTTTTTAAGAATAGATATATGTGTATATCAGAAACTTTTCGTGGATTCACTTTTACATTTGCAATTGTTATATTTTAAACGTAATTTCTCAATTATAAATTCTATGTTTTTTAATCAGTCTAATAATCTACGACGTATTCATCTAATTATATTCGTTGACAAATGAATTTTGTAAGACGATTTGATTGAATTCGAACGCGCGCGATTGACGAAGACGAATGATTGTGAAGGATATACCTCTGCAAGATAGACTGCTATGAGCAGTTGGTCATCTACGACGTTTTATACACGCACTGACCATCGAATGCCGTTTATCACTCGGTGACAAATGCCGTTTGTTCTTCGTGTTCTCGCGCAGAAAAGGTGATCACTCGCGTTCGTTGCGTCATTCGCGTGCGATAAACAGATGATCGCTCCTACTTTCGGCAAATCTACACTTGATATAATATAGCAATGTCATGATATAATAGCTACATGATGTAGATAGCACTTATTTATTTTATATGCCGGAGAGAATTGAGTCAGAATAACTTAATATATTAAAAATGGCATAGAAAATTTCGTGTTTCTTAATTATATTTATCTTAAGGAACACTAGAAGAATAATGTATATTATGAAGATAGTCAAAATATAAATATAAATGAAATTTTTCATAAAGATACATAATAGATAAAGATTATATTCATAAGAACCGATAGAATATTAAGTATATGCGAAAATGTCACAATAACATACCATATAATGCAAAAAGTTTCAGGATTTTTCGATGAACAAATATTAATATAAAATCCATCTATATCGCAACTCGATATAATATAGCAAAGTCATGATATAATAGCTACATGATGTAGATAGCACTTATTTATTTTATAATATGCTGGATGAGTCAAAATAACTCAATATATTAAAAATGGCATATAAAATTTCGTGTTTCTTAATTATTTTTATCTTATGGAACACTATAAGAATAATGTATATTACGAAGATAGTCAACATATAAACATAAACGAAACTTTTCATAAAAAAAAAAAAAAACCGTTAGAATATTAAGTATATGCGAAAATGTGACAATAACATACCATATAATGCAAAAAGTTTCAGGATTTTTCGATGAACAAATATTAATATAAATTTCATTTATATCGCAAAAAATAAAATGTTTAACATACACGTATCTGGCACCGAAATTTTATGTAGATAACAAATATCGATATTCGAATAACTTTTAGTATCGCAAATATTTAAATGATAAAAAGGAAACGGAAACCAGGGAATAGTTGAACATACAAGCCATAAAGATTAACATCTTATTCCAGAGCGGAACGTTTTTTTCCTTCTTCGCAAAAAACATACAGAGCATTAATTGTTATCAATAATGACTATATATTCTGCTCATGAGGACAAACAAATTAAAAAATCGTAACAGTTTAATATATTTTTTCATTAATATATTTTTATATGTTTTGTTTATATTTAAATCAGTTTCATGTGTGCATATAAATTAGATTAAAAAATACACATTATGTAATATAAATTTTTTACCTAAGAAGAAATATAGTAAATTTAAAATAATTTTTACTTTTTACTTAATTTTTTTAAGTGTAAAATGTATACTCTATAATGTGTATTTTGTAATCTAATTTATATGCACATGTGAGAATGGTTTAAATATAAACAAAACATAAAAATGTATTAATGAAAAAAATTATATTAAACTGTTACAAGAGTTTAAATCAATTTTAATTTAAATTTAATATTATTTGGTAATAAAAACTTGAAAATATCACAGTTGTTGAATAGTTATCAGAATTTTAGAATCAAAATGGATGATCACAATTAACGAAATAAGACGACGAGGACAACTCGCGATTCATGCCCGATTCTCGCTCGACTGACTGACTGACGTCGCATACTTTTTATCAGCGTCTTGACATCTTGTTATCAGGATCCGACTGGCTGCTGAAGTTGCGCTGATGTACGCAAAACGTGTCAAGACAAGAGATTATCTTTTATTCCTCGGAGAAACGTAAATTTTGTTATGATATAAAAATATATATATATATAATATACATGTATACAATACACATATGCAAAGTGTCCCGAAATTAGCGAATCAAAATACCAGCAAGAAAGTTCTTAAAAATTAAATAAAAAAATAATTACCATATTTACTTCAAACAGTTTTTGAGGTAAAAAAGTTTTTAACTGGCCAATTACAGATTATAATTAAACGGACGCTTGTCCGTGAGTTGCACGTCGATCATGTTAATGATTAATGATCATTGCACTTTACGCGTTTCAGACTTCCGTTTATAATCGTAATCTATAATTGGCTAGTTTTGAACGGTTTTACCTCAAAAACTGTTTGAAATGAAAAATGGCAAATACTTTAGTTTAGATTTTTGAGAAATGTTTTGCTATAATATTTTGATTTGCGAATTTCGAGACACCTTGCATATATATGTGTGTATGTATGTATATAAAGTATTTCATAAAATGTAGAACTCACTTTAGGAATAAACTCAGCACTTAGGAATAAACTTGAAAACAAAAATCTCATAAATATGTCCAGCTTGACCTTGTTTCCGAGTTATAGCGAGTTTCGTATTTTAGCAATCTGCTTATCTTTACCAGAAGTGTACAAAATGATCACTTTGCATCTGAATGTGTTTGCAAACGCGTGAACATTAATCTTCCAATTCTCTAGAATTTTCTAAGTGTTTTTAAGATTTACTGAAAACTATTTAATTCCCTGGTGGAATAATTTAATAGTGTGTTAATGGACGTTCTATACGCACATAATTAATTTCAAATGAAAGAGAAAGAGAAAGAAGGATTGATTTTATAGTCTGAGAAATAAATCTGAATTAATTTTTTTGTTTATTAAAAATTAAAGATTTAATTAAATTTAATTGGTTATTTTATTAAAGATCTAAAATTGAAGTTGCTATTTCTTAGCACATAAAATGTTTTTCTAATTCTAATCTAAAATTTTATGTTGTAAGTAATTTAAATAATAAATTTAAAAATTTAATAAGTTAAATAATACATTTAAATAATAAATTTAAAAAAATATTAAAAATATATTAAAAGAATACTTTTGTTCCAAATATATTAATTTTAGAAAGAGAAAAATCAAGAAAAAAAAGAAATCTGGCCCAGTAATAACCTCAATCAATACATAAATCGCATTATTAATTGGTTCAGCATTGAAGTGAGAAACATATGTATGTATACATACATATGTGTAAAACGATTGTACCAACCAGCTGTTTCGTTTAGGCTTCGCACAAATAGATCTTCTTGTCGAAACACTTAATTTTTCACGATCCATGATCGATGTAATTTCCGAATTAAATTGCCATATGCGGAGAGAAACTTATTGAGACTTGATTCTTTGATATCTTTCGCGACCGGACCAGATCTAACTGACCGCTATCATGTTGCGATAACGAACCTAAACATACAATTTAATTAACAAGCGGTCTCCAATAGAGTCTAGCCTTTAATGATCCACTTGTCTTCATGAATATAAAACCGATTGACATTTTTGCAATAATTTTACTTTTAATATATTATACATTTTATTTTTGACACAATGAGAAGTCTATACACATATATACATTTATATAATTTCTCATTATTCATCTAATCTCTTGAAAAAAAATTCTATTTATTAATAAGAAATTTAGAAATTTATATATTTAACATATGTAAATATTTTCATACTTGTATACATTTGTATTACATATTAATATTATATATTTATAGATAAAAGAAGAGAGTTAATTAAGAGCAAAATAGTGCAGAAGATAAAATAATTGAAAAATAAGAATATTTTATAAAATATATTTCATATTTTATGTCTATGTGTCACAATGTATTATAATCTCGTAAAATAAAATATCTTTTAAATTATTGATTTCTTTATTAATATTTTTCCATCAAAATGAGAGATTAGATGAATTATGCAGATTAATTATTAAGCTGAAGATTATTTTAATCTTTCGAAAAATGTTTGATATTTCTTTTATTGCAATTTGTTTACCAAAACAAGGATATACAAAGTGTTTTACTAATTCTGTTATTCCGTTATACATTTTTACACGTATTTACTTTTACAATCTACGCTCTATCTATTGATTTATGTATTTTCGACTCAACTTAATAATAATGATGATGATGATTAAAATCTGAGACCAAAACATTGAATAATGAATATTTAAAAGGAAAGAATGTATAATTTGTGCATCGATTTCCGCGTTTTGCTCTTAATTAACTCTCTTCTTTTATCTATAAATATTTATAATATCAGAGAATCTTTTACTACATCTTTAACAAAAAAATTTTATAAACTTTTTAATTCTATAAAGTGTAATTTACCTTTTGCTGATAAGCTCGTTTTTTTTTAATTCTTATAACTTTTGATGGTTCAACATTTCACTAAGGAAAAATCTTCAAAATGACCAGAAAATATTTCATTCAATTTTCTTTTGAATTGGGGAACACTTTGTATATAAATAAAATATTACATAACATTTTGAAAAATTGCAAATTGTTACAAGTATTTTATAGTTCATAAACACTTAATAAATAAATTTTTAAATCAATATTCTGTACAAAAGAGAAAATACTTGTGAACATAGCACATCTTATGCTATCGCAGCAAATTAATAACAAATTAAATTTGTTACAATAATAAATTCGCATTCTCACGAGCAAAAAATATTTACACACACCAAATTTTTTATTTTATTTACACAAAACAGATTTTGTTAAGAGTAATAATTAGTAATAATAACGCAATTTGGTCATTTTTCATATCAAATATAAAACAGTGGTGCAAAATTACTTCTGGAGTACAATTTACTAATTTTATTTTCTTTTATGTAAGAATCTGCCAAAAATAAATATGAGATCAATGTTTGACAATAAATACGCCAATAAGTTTATCATTATTAGATGCAATTAACGTGTATCCGTACAGAATCAACATTTCATACGCATTGCGTGTCGCATGTGCGTGTGTAACAAGGTTACCACGTGTATTTACCCTTTACCCGTTATTTCTAATGAGTTGTCATTTATCATATCCGCGACGCGCGACATTATTATCGCGATATCAACATGTTATACACTTTGTAGGTAAAGTGTACAAAGTGACGCTATTATGTTTTGTATTCGCGTAACCTTTTTTTTCATTTTAAAGCGATTCCCAATCATTATCCTAGCTTCCGTTGCACATGAAACGAATTCTAAAAATGTAAGTTTCCACAATCTTTTCTCTTCTTTTGCAATTCGTTATCATGATGATGATACTTAAATTTAACGTTTTGTTCATACGTCGTTCTTTGTTTTTTGGTCTAATCTGTTTAAAACCGCGAAGAACACCTGCCAAGCAGAGGCGCCGATAATCACTTTAACAAATATGACGTGTCCGCTTTTAACGTGATGCTTTAAATAATCCGGTGACACACTCGTGACTTTTAGTACATTCTTTAATGCAACGAAATGTTTGTTATCTCAATAAATATAAGTACATTTGAATCGACAAAACAATTGAATTCAAGCAGATCCTCACCTGGTAGAATCCTGCCGACCGATACCACCGGCGATGCTGCTACTTTGAGTGCTAACTCTGATGAGAGTGACGTTTCTTGGTAAACTAGAAATTGTCAAAGCGCCCTTTTGACCTAAGAGAGGAGATTCCACTTTCGACGTGTTCTCCAATGACTCTCTCATTTTGTGACTTTCCAGTTCCTTTTCCTCTTCCTCCTCAATTGTCCTCGGAAGTTGGAAAAGCTTCGGTGAATCATCCATCTTCCTGTTTCCTTCTCGAGAAAAAAATTACTCTGTTTTCAATCGGAACATATTCTTCTTTGCTCTCTTTTGTTCCTGTTTTTCTTCTTCGCTAGATTTGTCGAGATCTATCTTTACGTAGGCAACCTTATCCCAATCTTTTCAATAGTCATCTCTGTGATCTAAATTTGTTTAGATCGGTTGTTTATTTTACTTATTCAGTATGCGTTTTTACTTTAATTTAATTGTATTTGTTAAAATGCGATGATTTTGAATTGATTCTTAAATTAAGACGCCGATCATGTAGCATCACTCGACTTTCTTTCCAGGCCCTCGTTGACACTGTGAATAAAAAATTGCATTTGACAACTTCATATTTTGTATTTAAAATATTTTTATAAATTATATATCTATATTTCACTGATAGAAAAATAATTATATTTACAAGTATTGCATAACAGTTTTGAACAAGCAAGAGAAAAACATTTTCTTTTGTTTATACATAGAACAGAGTTTGAAAAAGTTGAGTAAATTTTATATTTAGTTTATTAATAATTTTTTCATATAATAAATCATTGAGATTATAAGAAATAAAATATAGGTACATAGAATTAATAAAAAATAGGAAATAAATTTATTAAGAAGTAAATATAATTCTCATATATGCTTTTTATAATGAATGAAATGGCGTACCTTTAAAAAAATAACGACGACTTTTCCGCGCTTTTTGAGTTCACAACGAGCATACGTACGCGCATCACGCTTACAACTGTTTCAGACTCACGTTCATCCGCTCGATTCACATGAGATCTCGTCATGGCGTTTACCTCTTTACGTCGCGCAGGCGGGGATAATATGCACGCTTTAATCACACACGTATAAAGCCTATTTCAAACGATAATATATAAAAAGAGAATAAATATAGTTGTAAATTAAATTATCTCGCACAAATCCTGTACAAATTTTTATACAGTACTTACAGCTTGTCGTTAATAAAATTTTAAACAAATATTATAAAGAATTTACAAGAGTAATATCATAAAGAAGTACAAAGCTCTGTTGTAAGTTATCATAAAATATTTATTATTTTTATACTTTACCTATAAAT